GAAAGATAGAGGAGTTTCAGTTGAAATTACGCTAATAGTTCCTGAAGAATTCTGAAGGAACTGATGCCTCTTTATTTAACAAACAATTATTATTAGAACGAAATACCCTCATTTGCGGTCAGGTCATAAATTTACAATCCCTTTTTTTCAGGGGGAGAGCTGACAAAGAGCGGACAATCTCGCTAGGGATCTTGAGAAAATGCGGGGGTTGTTTAAACGAAATACCCTCATTTGCAGTCAGGTCATAAATTTACAATCCCTTTTTTCAGGGGAAGAGCTGACAAGGTGCGGACAATCTCGCTAGGGATCTTGAGAAAATGCGGGGGTTGTTTAAACATCTAACTTCTTTACTTTCAGTTTTATACACAGGAAAATACAAATTGAATTCTTCGAATGAATGCAATTTGTACAATGAAAATGTATTACTAACGATAAACTGTAAGATAAATACCATCTTTTTTAAAGCCATAGGTGTAGAAAGATATTTGTTACACGAATGAATTTGTAGTAAATACTGAGTTTTTCATTTCGAATGCTATGTTCCATGTATGCGAAGTAGCTGAGTATGTGAGATAATAGTCATAACCGAATGGCTTTCAACCTTTTCACGGCTAAGGACTGTTTCTCAATTACATTGTGGTCGCTTCTAATGGCATATAAACAATAATTGTTTTTATTTGAGACTTATGAATAAAATAACGCAAACTAGACTGCAGAAAATTCCTAAGAATGAAGTTAAATAATACTGAAAAATACATTATTGATGCACTTTGTGTTTTATATGTAGTAGTATTAACTACTACTATAATCCTAAACGGGAATCCTTAAATTATATATATCTATGTATAGGATAGATAAAGGAACCAAATATAGAATAAGGTATAAAAATATCTTTATTATAAATGTTCGTTACCATACGTATATTTACGTAATATCAATATAAATAGTTAGTTAGGTTTCGTACTATATAATTTATTTTTGTATTTTTATTTTTTGTATTAGATTCAGTATTGTATACGTATCCGAAGTTTAATTTGTTCTCTTTTGGGTTACGACTTTAAGTGAGAAAGAATTGTTAGGGCCTTCATAGGGATTACATTATATACAATCAGTTAGGATCCGACTTTTCCTTTAATTTAATCATTATATATATTGAAATACTACTTAATGAGTATACATAAAATATAGCAGTTTTTAAGCTACTTATTTATATATCTATTGTTTGGTCTGGTTTGTTTGATTATAGCAAAGCATTCGACGGTTATTTGCCTAAGGGTAAGGGTGCCTCGTGGAGAACTTTCTAAGCAAAACTGACTCTTATGCACGTTACACGTGAGGAAAACCTCGAAAACACCAATACAGCCATCCCCGTCGATCCGAATTCCAACCCCGGATCGACCGCCAGAGTTTCAACGACTTTACAGCTCAGCCGCTCTAGTGAGCCCCCCCCCCACACACATCCACACATATACATTAAATAGTATTTACATGTCGTTTATAAGTATAATGAGCGCAATTAATCATAAAGAGTTAGAAAATATTCTACGGAATTACTTCACTTCGTAGACTTTTTGTTAAGCTCACCATATTTCTAAAGAGAATCTCAATGCTAGTTCCATTTCCAAGCTGTTTATGTACCTTATTTTTTCATGCTTTGAATTATATTTAGAAAATTATTTCACTTGGTTTATAGCTGAAAAATGCAGTTTTTTTATTGAAGAATTTAAGGGTAAGAAGAGAATTATGCTTTTTCTAATTAATTATTCTTGGAGCATTTAATTTTTTAAAAAAGGGCACATTAATACGAATCATTGAACTAAAGTGGTCGATACAAGACAGATTAATTAGCTACTAAATTTTGATTTCGTTGAGTAAAATGAATTCATCTGCATTCTATAAGAAAGTAAAATTCAAAAAATGTTTTTTTCCTATTCTCGCAGTCATAATATTTTCTTAAATATTCAGCTAATTCATATTCAAATATCCAATCCATTACAATAAGTAATAAATCGACAGTAAATAAATAATTAAAATCAATTAAATGGAATTTTAATTGATTTTAATTGCCATTTTCCCTCTGATAAACCCCTCTTTAGAGTTCAATAGCAGTCGATCAGCTTTTGTTGGGGGTTCATTTTCTTTATGGTATGCTTACGTTATATATGTATGTATTATGCATTGCTCATACTTGTCAATTGCAGCTTTTAATATCTTTTGGAAAAAAATCAATAGGAGAATCCAGAAAATGATTCTTAGCGACGCTAAATCTATTATTACTAGGCACTCTCATGCCACAGTGTTTAAAAACAAATCCCATTGTTTAAAGGTAGATTATATGCTCATATTTTAGTCTAAATTAAAAGCTGCGAGTCAAAATTAAGGGGGTTGCTCTTAGAAAGCCTCAATTAGAAGTAGTTATAGGAAATGTTAATAATACTATAATTTTAAGGTAGGTAAATATGAGCCCATTTCCCTTAGAAAACTCCATGAAATCATGCCTAGCCAACCCTCATATGTTTTGCCATTTAACACAAAATCATTCTTAATTAATGAATTATTCATTAATTAATGAATTTTCGTTAGATGATACGAAGCTTTTCAAAAACTAGGATGCTTTCCGTAAACAATTAGTAAATAAGCGCTGTTCAACTGGAATTGGGTTGGATTATTTGTTTATAGCAGCTTTTCAGCCGACTTACATGTACCTGTTTGTATTGCTCAGCGGTGTGGGAAGGAAATTCCTATACGAAACAATGTAATAATGAAATGTTAATAAACAATAAAATAAGTTTTCGTATCTTATGTAATTTGGTTCCATTCTGAACCATGTGCATCATTTATTTTGATATACTGATACTGAATGAGACCTAAAAACACTTTTTTAAAAAAAATATATGACCCCTTATGATCCCTGACACAGCCGTTTACTTTCCCCTTCCGTAATTAACGTCAGTCTCCTGCTCTCGACCGCATTTGCCAAGCCACCATTAGAACCACTTTGTTTTTGCGCTTCATAAAACTATTTGTGTTGATTTATATTATTTTAGGCCTCCTGTTTCAACAGGAACAGCGTTTTGTTTAGAACATTATGAGTACAAACTTGCCGCGGGTAATTTCTCCATTCGTCGGTCATATTTAGCTGACCATATCGTGTCCATTAGTACACACATTTTTTTATGGTGGGTTCCTGCAACTTTGAAAATAATCCCCATATTCTTGTTCGGTAGAAAGCAGGTCTCAGATTTTAATCATTTTTTTTAAATGTAAGAAAAAATACAGCTATCAAAATTAATTTATGTCCTCGTTCATAAAATCGAATCGTAGCTCATCGAGAATCAATCGGTGTTGCATCAAACACGAAAGAGCAGATGTTACGAATGTTTTCATACGTCTGCGATTATTACTGACGCTAAATCGCACTGCTAGATGACAGTTTCACGGTCGAGGGGATAATATGTATTGGCCCATCAGTGGTCGAGAGGTAAAACCTTTGAAAACTTGTAGTTTGACTCGAGCTCGGGTCTCTGCCAACAGGTCAGTTGCATGGCAACCTCCGTACTCCTCCCATGTGTAAAGTGGATGCGAGCCAATTTTCCCCAAAATGTCCTGCATAACCATTCCTGTCTCCTAAGCAAGCAGCCCGAAGCTTACTTTTGAAACTCATATAATCCAATACTTACGACAGGGCTTAATTTCAGAAATTAGAAGTACCGGAGCCCTATAGAAGACCTTCAGGAAAGAGAAACAAGAATAAATAAAAGAATAAGATGACTAATAAAATATTAACAATAAAAAAATTAAATAATTCATTATTAAAATAATTAAATAATTAAGGTTAAAGTAATTAAAATTAAAATTTAATAAAAGGTAAAGATATAAATTAGAATTTAGTAAGCAATTTTTAATAGAATTTTATTACTAAAAGTAAAGTTTTCAAGATCAGATTTCTACTGAAATTATTGTTCAGTTACATAAAAGAAGTGCCGTAGCCTTCTTATTTAGGACTCCGGCTAAAATTAAGAATTATCCCCAAAACTAAGAAGTACCGGAGCCAGGCCCCGGTGGGCTCCGGCGCAGTTTAAGTCCTGACTTACGATATGTATTGCTAACATTTTTTTTTATTGCTTCCGGCAATGAAACTTGAATTCGATTTTCTGTTATTTGTTTTCTAGGTTTGGTTTACATGCTTTGAAATAGATTTTGAATTGGAATTTACCTGCTGATTACGCGTAATATTTTGTTAAATTCGTATTCCATTACTAACTGAAAATGTAAATGTTACGGAAGATGCAAACATTACAAAGTAGAGTTCGAAATGAAAAGTACAAATGTTAAAAAGAAAACTATCAGTTTTCTTTTTTTCGGGGGGGGGGAAGGTTTACATATAACTCTTTCACTAATGAATGTATTCGCATTGAATACTTATAAATCTAACTTCTAAAATGTTAGTTAGTGATACCGTGTAGTTTATTTTAAATTTTTTTGTTTCTGGGAATTTTTTTCTTTTTTCACCAAGAAATTTGAATGAAATTGGGAGCATCTCAAACGCCTATTCACAATGCACAGTAACTTACAATATGTAATTTATTTGTTGAGAGAAATGTCTTTTAAAAATAAGTCACACTACAAAATGTGATCCAAATAACTAAGCAATTGCATTAAATTTGATAAAGGAGAACTTTTACTCATAAGGAATAAAAATAAGTTACCAGTTGAAAATGTCAGGCAAAAGGCAAAAACCAATAAAGGAAGAATAAAAAGTATGAGATACTTCGGGGGAGGGGGACATCATTTTATGATAAATTGCTAATTTTAACATCGTTTGAAAAGTCTTAGCTTGATGAAAAGAATAATCAGATGATGAGCTGTCTCATTTTTAAAGCAGCTATCATTCATTATAAGGCATCTGTGATGAAGCGATGAATGGGAGAAATGTGTGAAAACCTCGGGCAAGGTCGCTCGTATTGGAGTAAAAACGGCGTCGCTTTCGTAACACCGCGCGCAGCTTTTAAAAGCTCGCAGAACTAGCGCTGTACTCACGAAACGCCATGGAATCGCAGGAACGTCAGAAGCTCACTGTTTACCGTCCGCGGGTCGCCGACTTTTACCAAGGCAAATCAGTGTTTATAACGGGTGCAGCTGGTTATCTCGGTGTGGTGAGTTATTTTACATATTCACATAATTTATATATTTGTCTAAAATAATATTAGTTTAGTTTCACCTCATATTCACAATATATATATATATATTTACAGTATATTCACTGTAGCTTCAGTATTGATTATTGCACATGATGCGTACGTCATTTTACAAATATGGACTATGATTTATTTTCCAATCATATATCGTATCTCGTATATTGCTCGTATCTAGTATATTCATAATGTTCACGAAATGCACATGCTTCTACATTCTTGTATTTTACTTTATTTGTACTATTGTATTTGTGGGAATTTCTGATGGCAGAAATTTTTTATCATACTAATGTTACTTTTTACCGACTGAGTAGCAAAAGTGTGAATGACATCTCCGAAGTATAATAAACTGGAATATATAGCAATTAAATTTAGCAATTATATTACAGTAACCTTTTCCAAAAGAGCATCATGTTTAAATGCAATGGTATTCTCAGCAACTGAACATAATGCAGCTAAACGTTGTGGAATTTGGTATAATTATCGTGCAGTTTGATATTTTACTTAATGAAAGTGTAAGATTTTGGTTCTTCATAAATGTAGCTTTCAAATGCGGTTTGAAAAAAATGTTTGATTTCGTATTACGGTGTGCTTCAAAGTGCTGAAAATTTTATGTATTTATTTTTTGTAAAATTCAGTTAATAATAAGTGTAATAAGCGAGTCAAGAAATTAAAATGTTTTTTGAAAAAAGAACTTAAGTGCTGCAAATTTTACGCATTTATTTTTTTTTGAAAAATCAGCTAATAATAACTGAATCAAGGAGTCGAAATGTTTATTGAAAATAGAGCTAAATTGCTGCAAATTTTATGCATTTATTTATTTATTTTTTGGAAAATAAACTCGTTATAAGTGAATCAAGGAACTGAAATGTTCATTGAAAATAGAATTAAGTCCATATCTGTGTCTTGGATAAATTACAAAATTCTTGTACAATTTTTAAAATTTTCCCTGTATTGCACTTCATTATTCGAAATCACTCGTTGTTTTAATCCTCTTTTTGTCTTTCTTTAATCTTTAAAAAACATCTTCAAAACTGAACATTTCTTTAACTCTAACTTAGGAAATAACTTTCAATTTTTGTTTTATTCGTAAAGAATATATCTGTATTTATTTGAGTAAACTACATTCGAAAATTGTACCTCTAGAGTATGTGAATGAAATATTTTTGAGTCACTTCGGTTAAAATATCAAATCACTGCAGCCGCTTAAAATTTGTATCGTATATGTTTAAATCATAAAATGTTTTCCTATGAATGAAGGACATTTTAGGTAAGTCCAGAGCTCTTGATTTACCGTCAGACTGTATAGTCGTGTACATTGTTGATCAGTGGCTCAGGTCTACAATGAAACATATCCTGAGATACTAAAATATTAAATTCATTTCTATACACAAACCTATTCAGTTAAATAATTAAATGCTGCAATAATGTATCTCAAATTTTATAAATTTTCTATACTAAGACCGTCATTATAAGCTTTCCAGTATTCATTTCACTAAACTGTTCTAAGCTGGGAAAAAAAAAAATAATTAAAACTTGAATGAAGGAATTTTTCGTATAGTCCAGTACATTTTTACACGTCCTACTCATAATTTTGTCTTTGAATTACTTAACAGAGGATATTGAACTAACTTTTGCTGTAGAATTCAGCTAATCGTAGGTGTTTGTAAGAGAATTACCAAAGCTTGTGGCTATTAAATGAACTCGTTTTAGGAATTGATGAGTTTTGTATTGAATAATGATAATGAATAAAATTTGACAGAATAAAAACATAAACAAAGCAGAATCGCGATACTCTAAAACTAGATTATAATTTCAACCACTTAAACTAACTCTTTGTCGGTTATTTTATCATAGAATATTTTATATAATAATATATAATGTTAAAGTACTCGCGTACTTTTGACAGTTATTAAGTAACTGTTTGACATCTATTTTATTTGACATTACTCTTACACAAAAAGTTATGTTATTTTGTCAAACTATATGCGATCTTAAGTTTGTTATTAAACTTTACGATTTTTTGCAATACTGAATATCTGAGTTCTGGGAGTTTAAATGTAGCTCCTGTGGTTTCAAATTTGAATTTAAAATTCATTTTTTAACTCAAACTCTTGAATTAAGTTTAATTACAAAAAGTTAAAAACTTTCAAAAACGAATTTTGTGCGTTCTTTAAATAACAGAGGGAACAGTTTTTCTTGTACAGTTTTAAAAGATTGTGTTTCTGAAAGGCAGATTTTTTTTTCTTGTTTTGCTTTGATAATTATACCTATTTTACGACAGGTATAAAATTAGTATTTTATCTGCACTGTCATGAAATTATTAGGAAACAAGTTCTCTTAAGATGAAATTGTATTTTTTTTTTTTTTGTCTTCAAACACTATTACTTCAGTCAGGCGTCCTTAACAGCTATATGAACACATGTTCATTATAACGCAAAGGTACACATGAAGTCATTTTGACCTTGTCTGCATTTTTGATGTTTTCCCCTACTTTACTATTTGAAAACCCTCATAAGGTAATAACAAATTAAAGAACATTTAAACTAACAAAGATTATTAAATATGATATTTGAAACTTTCACAAAAGCAGAAAACTTATTACCAAACATTTACACATTATATACTGGTGTAATATAAAGTTCCTAAACTTCCTCAGTTCCTTTGCTCAACCAGTGTTGCCTAAATCAGAACATAAAAATGCCCATCGATAAAACTGACCGATGTGTACTTACTTATAGGTGTTAATGGAAAGTCGTCTTTGAATCATTTGTTCCTAGGCAGAGGATCATCACTTGATTTGCTATAATTGACTAAATAAGCATTTTTATAACTTTAGTTTTATAATTTGAACCGGAGTCAAGTTCCTGCTCATATTTGTAAGAAACAATTATTTCTATCACTATGCACCGAAGTATATTTTAAGACTTTATGGCTTTTTTTATTTATTTTTTTTAATTCCAGTTATCTAATATTAGACCGAAGTAGTATACATAATTTTGAGAGATAATTATGAAAGCAAGAAATTATTTTAGCCAAAGGTCTCCTTTTAATGTGTTAAAAAAATCTGATGAACTTTGTTGAATTCAAGAAATCAGTTTTATAAATGTTTTCAATTACTTCAGGACTGTAGATACTTTTATTTTGCAGTCTCCGGAACATTCCAAGACTTGAACCCTTTGCACTAGAGGCCCATTTTCGCTCAGAGGATGCAGAACTCGAGAAGATTCCCCCCCCCCCATATTTGGTGAATTTCTTACAGCTGACTTAAAATGATTTCGCAGAAATCTAATGGTTCTTTTGTGCCTGAAGATACTTGATGATACTTGTCCTGCGCCTCTCTTTCGCCAAATACAAGCGGTATTTTTTGCGGTTCTTCGGATTCTGTGCACGTTATCCGTTCTGAATTTTCTGTCTTTTCTGCTGAACCACTGTCACTTTAACATTCAGAATCTATTACCTTGATTTTTCTCCTCCTTACACTTTATTGTTAACTTCATTACTGCTTTCTTCCCCTTCTCTGTCGTTACGTATTCTATGCATAAACGTAATTTCGTTCTTCATTCAACGAAAAATCGAACTCATTTCCACTTGAACTCCATTTCCTTCATCGTATTTCATGCTTACACGGTTTCGTATCTTTGAAAATGATATTCCTATTGCCACGACTGTCAAGCTCGAACTAATGTTGAAGACATGTATATAACAATAAGAAGCGAATTAAAGATGGATTCAGATTTTGTATTCCAAAAATATTATTCTTAGTTTTATATGCATGTATTGCTGAATACACTTATGAAGCGATATTGCCAAAGTCAAACCTAAATAAACGTTGTTATTGCTCGAATTATCACATCACCTCTCGAGTTACTGCATCAAATCAAATGGTAACCGGGAGTTATCTCTCCAGTTACTCCATCTAATCAAGTGGTGATCGAGAGCCATTCTCGAGTGCAAAGAGTTAAAATTTTTTTACCTTTGTTTTCAGAATCTAACAATGGCCGATCATTTCTCTGGTGAGACATATTGTCAACGTTCATAATGATTGATTGCATAAGGTTTTCAAATGTTTTTTCGTGCGTAGCGTAAATATGCGCCAAATATACCTTTAAAATGTCCTCCACGAAAGCATCCATTCTGATAAGAATTAAGAGCAGTAATATTTATTATAATCAAAAATACTCTTAAAATTAGACAATCTAATAATGAAAATAAATGGATACATAAAAAATAAAAAATAGCAGGAATTTTCTGTAATTGCAATTGTATTGTATTAGTTTCATCTGCAGAAAATGTTACAATCTATCACTTAAAACACAGCCCTACCTCACAGAGTAAATATGGACAAATATCAATCTTAGATATAATTAATAGTTAATTTTAATAAAAATATAAAATTTAGATTAAAGTTCACATTTCGGCCCATCGGCCGAGTGGTAAAGTCGCTGAAAACTGGTAGTTCGGTCCAAGGTTCGAATCCCGCGAACGGGCTGGCTGCATGGGCGTTTTAACCATGTGTAATGTGTATACGAGCCAGTTTTCCTTAGAAAGCCCTCCACGAAGGCATGCCCCGTTAGGCAGATAGCCCTAGTGTGCTTTGCCATAATTAAATAAACCAAACCGAAGTTCATATTTTATTCATTTTGTAGTCTCGTTTACAAAAAAGACTTGAGAAAGTTTTCTGTGATGACCTTCTTACCCTTAGGTAGCTAATCATGAGTTCGCCAATTATTTTGAAAAAATTAAGAAAGAATGGAATATAATTATGAAAGAACAGAATTATTCATATTTTGTAGTCCAAAGATTATATTATTCTTAATTTTATTATCAAAAGTCAATTTATATGAATTCCGAAGATATTTCCGTTATAAATTTCAATAAAGTCGGTGAAATTTGTAAGATCCTATTGTAATCTGCATTTATTCTCCGTGTTAAAAAGCTCAAAAGTTACCTATTTTAATAGCTGAAAGACAAACTGCACGAAGTTTCGTACAATTAAGACCGAGATAGAAATGTAAAGATAAATTAGAATGCTCTAGATATATTCTGATGGCAGTGGCTTTATTGCTTCTAATTGTTTGTTTATTGCGGTGGTGGTATTTTATCGTTTACAGATGTCTTGTAATATAAAAAACTGAAAATGTAAAATAATGATTTTAAATGCAGACTTTAGGATTTTTTTTTTTTTTCCAATTATACGTCTTCAGAATTCAAATAAGCAGAAAAACGTCTTGAAAAATGCAAACTTATCGGTTTTCCTCCCATTCAGATGCAATCTGAAATTAAAGTTATCAATCCAAAGACAATTATTCACATTAAAAAGATACATTTACTCGAAGTGAATACAACAACGGTTTCAAATAGAAACTGATCTAATTAACTAGACACATTTACATTGTGCTTAATATAAACAGTAGCATTTAATCTTCCAGTTATACACGAATGACTACAAAATTAAAACGTATTTCGACATAGGTGCATTTAAGCTATTTAAAACCATTTGTAGGTAATTTGCTCGGAAACTTGAAATAAAATCATCAGTCGATCAGAGAGAGTTCTTAATGTTAATTTGCTGCATGAGAGTTTTCGCGGTTTACCCTATGTATAACATGAGCAGGAGACAACTTCAAAAACCCCTTCATGAAGGGGTCTAATCTAATATTTCGATCTATAAATGTGAATTCCAGTAAAAATATTTTCATCTTATTGAAATTCTGCACACACCTGTATGGTATGTGGTTAGAGGTATCTCGTTTATATTTATTATTTCGCATTTAATATTTATGAAGGTTTGAGAGAAATACAAACTTTATTCCTTACTTTTCTTAACCTTTAATGGTAGAATTTTTCCTGGTTGAAGAAATGTGCATACAAAACTATTAATGAAAGAGGGATATTTACTATTTTCAAAAGTAATCATCAGATATTCATAAGCTTAGTTTCCAAGGAAAATTTGGTGCTTTTTTTTTAATTGCAATTGTTTTTTTTTTTTTTTTTCCCCTATGGTTTTAAACCCTATCACATCACCCAACAATTCTATATTTCAAACAACTTCTATTTATTGCCTTGAAAGATGCGCTGTGAAAGTAGTTGACTGGAACTACAGGTGGGAGTAGTTGCAAAAATACGCGACCCATGCTTAACTCAGGTTGAAAGATATTTCAAGGTCATGAATGGACAAAGGGTGTTTCTCGAAAGTTCCACCTTTCCTGTTCCCCAGGCTGATAATGACCAACTCTAACAAATACTTCCAGACCCCTCCTTGAAACGTCAACCTGTTTTCTTTCAGTTGTTTACGATGGGTTCGCCCCCCATAGTTTCTCTCCCCATTTACTGAAGACTGCATAAGTCACGAACGGCATCGAAACCATCTCCTGATTTTATCAGCTTTTGGGGCTCGGATACTTCTGGTTATACTTTTGGTTATATTCTTTGAGCTCTGCATAGAAATTGCAGTGAAAATTGTGCAATCGCTGTGGCACCAAAATTCTATACCAGGAATACTTAACCAGGAGGAAATTAGTCCTTTAGAAGTTCCATAGTTTCAAGAACTGATGTGCTCAGCCTTTCATTTAGCTGAAAGCATTTAGTATTAGTTCATGAGCATAAAAACCTACCTTTTTTTCATATTTTGGCATTTATCAACGGTTCCTATACTTTTTATTGCTTAATTTATAAAAACACGTTAAAAATAATCTAAATAAATGTATATATATTTTTTGAGTTTTGGAAATGAGGGGAGGGATGATCTAGCAATGGTGAAAGGAGTTGCATGGTGCAAAAGAGGTTGAGAAACACTGTTTTTAAACAGTTTGCGTAAATTTCACTTTTTATTTATTCGTTGCTTTGCCGAAACTGTATTAACAAATAACCTTGCGTGGTACGAAGGATCTAGAATCGAAAACTTGTTTTTGACTCATGAGCGAAAAAACACTTCGATATATTTTTCTTCTCTGGGTTGTCAGCAGATTCATATTGATGCATACGACTATGCAAATGAAGGTATTTCTATCGTGGCTTCGCTTTTCATTTGGCATTGAAAATTCTACTTAATTCATGGATTCGTAATCTGGAGGAAGCTCATTCATACTACTAAAATAGTCTACTTGCATGGATAATATTCGAGGAAATAGAATTTGCTCTTTAATGTGCATTTCGCATTAAAATTTGCATACGAGTTATCTAAGTAGTTTTATTCGAATGCACGCCTGTTTGCATTCATAAGTCAAATTCCGTTCGACCAGCTATGTCTAGGAAAGGATTCTGTCTGAAAATGTGCCCCTTTTTCAAATGTTTCTTGAGCTCAAGTCGCTACAGAATGTACTAGACATCTTACTTTCTTTGTAATCATTTTTATCTCTGATCGCAGGGAAAAAAAATTTCCATTCTGTGTAGCGAATGTAATTATATAGTATTAGCATCTGTTGCTGAAAGATGAAATTATTCTTTTCAATTTTACGACTAGGGTAGCACGTGAATTTTTGTGTCCCTTAACCTGTTATTTGAATACCACACAGTTTTCTTTAAAAACCTCTACGAAGACATTATGCTGCGCAGACGGTATAGTTGTTAGGGGAACTTACTGAGATACCGAAGGGCCTTTGTTCGAATCCCGGAGAAGGCATGCGTGTTTGTAAATGTATAGTGTCTGTGCGACATAGTGGGACTCAAAATATGCAGCGAGCTGAAAGTCCTCTCGAAAGGTTGGTGGGGTGAAGAAGGGTGGGAGACTGTCGGACCGTCCCCCCCCCGCGTTGCTTTCCTTCAAAACAGGGACGGAACGTAGCGAAGTTTTACTGTCGCTTGTATGGTGCTCTTGACAACGACAGACACAGTCGCGCACTCCTTGCCACGACGAATTTTGTGGGCTTTTTAGACAAGGGAAATAAGTCATAACACAACGCAACAAAGGCATTCTTCACTTAGGCAGATAGCTCTCATGCTCTTTGCCTTAATTAATTAATAACCTAACGTAACCTAAGCTATAAACATCAAGGAATTGACCTTGACCTATATAAAAAATTCTTGATGAGAGCATGATTTTAGTTCTTGAGCCACCCTGACGTTAATTAGAAACAGAACAGTTAGTTAAATGCTCAGTTCCATGCCCATTTGCTTGAATTAAGCAGAATGTAATCAATATAAATTCTTTGATTGTTTCTTTGGCAGTGCACCCTAGCCTATCTTCTGAATCCTATTACTGCTGGGCTGTAATCATTTTTGTGGACTGACAGTTATCTATTTCATTTCAATATAATACACGCACTGAAAAGATAAAAAAAGATTCATTTCTAAAGAAATTAATTTGAGAATTCAAAAACTAAGGAAAAGGAGGCTTCTCTGAGAACATATTGGTTTTTTAAAGTAACTCGGATGTTTTAAAAATAGGTTGCACTTTTTTTGTAAATGTATACCATATTTATTTGAAACAATTTAAACCAGTTTTCCAGCATTAAACTTTAATACCGAATTAATATGTAAAACTTTCCCCGTCGTTTTCAACTCGCGTGTTTCAGCAACAATAAATAATAATAAATAAATAAATAAATAAATAATAAAACACTAATAAAAACGAAAATTTCCTTTATGAAAATTTTCTTTTTGTTCCTGTAAAAACTATTTTACTGCCTTAGGCAATGAATATTTTTTCCGCTTCAGAAGAAATAAAAGCTTTCAGTATTTTTTCATTCACTTGATTAATTAAATAACTGGTATATTCAGATTTTTTCATTTATGAATTTGTTATAGCTAAGTTTGTTTAAAAACTGTTTGGTTTTATTCAAAACACCGTACCTTCAAGTAAACTAAACAAATTTGTTTTCTTTCATTGTACGGGTTAAATGATAAATTAGCTATTTTTCAAATGTTAAATTACTCTTACAAGGCCGATTTGATTTCATAAAAGCATTTTAAGCTGAAAAACATTACTATAGAAAGGCCGATATATTATTTCTGACAGTATGTGAATAATATTTCAAAATTTAAATATTATGATCTCAAATATTTATATTAATGTTCGATTAACTTCTGAAATGTAATACGCAATTTTTTATTCATGAAGTTATGTCAAACAGTATTATGCTTTGAAGACTGTGAAATTTTCACAATGCTGAGTACGAAGGGAAAGAGAGAAGTTTCGGTTCTTTCTTATGTAAAACATTGCAGTGCATGCGGTTACTTATTAACTGCATTTTGTAAATTGAAAATAAATGTTTTGCTAAATAAAGTGTAAGCACTTTTCTCACTCAAAGCATTTTGTTATTTTATACAGGCAAACAGTAATTTTAAAAATAGCGCGATTTGTCAGAGGAAATTTTGGCCAATCTGGGGGTAATTCGAAAGTAAATTACCAAGGCCGTTGAGTACAAGGAACTAACTGCGCATCTAAGCTTTCTTGCAGCTACTTATTTGGGAGGAAAAAAACTTGCACTAAACTGTTTTTGCTCTCCTATGTGATTAATTTTTTGCTTCTGGTTTTCTCTTTCAGATTTTACTAGAAATCCTACTGCGATGTTGCCCTGGTATCCGCTATATCTACATCTTACTCAGGGAAAAAAGAGGAGTAGAGCCAGAATTCCGACTAAAATCAATATTCAAGCGAGAGGTATTTTTTGGAAAAACTTTCTTTTTGTTTTTTACTTAATTTATTTAAGTTTTTTCTATTATTTGACTGTAAACGGTTATATAGAGTGCCCACAATTAACATTCTCCTATTCAGAGATGTCCAAGTTAACCGTTCATCAGAAAGGCGTGAAACTGTGCGCATGACGTAATAAAGGGATGGAAAACACATTTAGCAAACTAGTTTCAAATGCCTCCACTATGGAGCGTATTACTGTGAAACATACATAGTTCAGATGAAATTTTTTTCGGCACTATGCAGTCAGTACCTGTTATAAAACGTACGAACATTCGCAGACAACATGTTTTAGTGAGGTTGCCACCTACAATGACCAAACGTCTGAAAGATCGTGCTTTGTTAGTTAATTTTTTAAAATTAAAATGAAGATTCCGCACCAGCTCTTTTTAATTTTTACGTGAACTGTGGGTGTTCACGGTAATATGCCTTCTGGTGGCGATGTTTATAATTTATCTGGTTTTTCGCTAAACGTCTTTTCCATGCTTTTATTACGTCATACACAAAGTTTTGCAACTTTTATGATGAACGGTTACAGCTGTTTTAAGTAAACTTCAGTCTTGGCATTGACAAAGATATCGCGGGTGGGGTGAAATGCTTTTATGTCATTTAATTAAAAATTTCCCACATGAAGCATTTTTCCGCAAATGAAACTAAATTAAATGCAAAGAGCTAATCAAAAAACTTAAAGCTGAATCTACAGTAAACTCTCGTTAACAAGAAACTCAAGGTACTAGAAAATCAAGATTTCCTGTTAAAAAAAACGTGCGTTATTTGAGGACTCTGATTTTATTTTTGGAAAAATTTTTTCCTCCACATTAATAATTTACAGTATATAGTTACATAAGTACTGCTATATATTATGTATTTCGTCATAGAAAATACTATAGCACTACTTAATTACTGTAGTGTAACTTGAAAAAATGCACTCATAGATCATTTTGGTTGAAAAATTCCTGCATATTACGCAGCTGCAGATGAGAACTTTACGGGCAACTGCACTGGTGGCTTCCGCAAAACTAGCAGTCAGTTCGGATATTCCAGTAAAACGTTTTACAATGTCCAAGGTAAGTAACATTTCCAGGTAGATAGGCGGAATCAAGTTGTAGTCCTCACTTTCTTTTCATGACATTTCTTGCACTTCAGACACAACTGCTTGTTCCTCTGAAGCAGACACGGCAACATCGTCATAAGCATTAACAAACTCCTGAAAACTAATGGGAGGGTTCAAAAAGTGTTGTAGAGTATTCCATTCTTCCAGTGAAGTAGTATCATTATCACCATCTAACTCGTCATTATGTCTCCATGTTCTACTAAACACAGTTCTATATGGATTGTGATGACACGGATTTCCAGGGTTCGGCAATAGCTTTTCAAGTACACTCCATGTTGCTTTCTTCATAACTGCAATAATGCCTTGATCCAAAGGCTGACGACGACTTGTGGCATTTGAGAGAGGGGAGTTTACTTTAAAATTGGTTAAGCTCAGATCGTGTCGGTTATGGGCTGTACACCTGCCCAAAGTCATAAGAACATGCATATTCTGAACTATCTTTCAACTACTAAAACGAAGAAGCCAATTACGAAATGATGAGCTGTCGATCCAAGCTTTTTCATGTTGTGAATAGACGTTAGCTTTGTTTTAAAAATCAGACGTTATCTTTGTTTTAAAAGCTGTTCAACGGATTTACAGATTATCCAAGGAAGGTGTTTATCACTGCCATCTGCATTACACGCAGGGACAACAGTTAAACGATGTTAACTGCATGCGTTACCATGGCACTTGTCACCTTTTATTGCGAGAGTAGAACTTGGGAAAAGATTGTAAAAAAGTCCACTTTTATCCATACTATAGATTTCACACGAGGCATACTTTTCTCTCACTTGGTCAAATTGATGCAACCAATTGTTTGCTCCTTCTTCATCAACTTTATAAGTTTCTCTACAAACCGTTAATGATGGAATCGAATACCTCTTTTGGAAGCGATACAGCCAAATAGCGGAAAAACTGAAATCTTAAATGTTTAAATTTTTTGCAACCTCATTTGCTTTGGATTTAATTATAGGTCTATTTAAAGGCACATTGGAAGTGCGCATATGATTGAACCATTCTAGAAGTAAAGTTTCGACATCTTCGTACTTAGCATTGCGAAATCGCTCATTAAGAATATTTTCATCATATTTAAGTACTGTGGATAAAGCAGATTTGACAGTTCCCTAGTTTCGCACACCCTTTGATACTTCTCTTCAATACACCATGCTCTACTTCCTCTAGTACTTTTAGTTCCCTTTAGTTTATATCTGTGCCTGCCTTCATCCTCTTAGACATGAGTGCTCAGTGTAACACTTTTCTGAAAATTAATTCCATTTTTGGAGAACTTTCTCCCACAGTGCATAAATTCCCTGTATGTTGATGATTTGATGATCTACTGTCACGGTCAAGATATGAGATACATTAAGAGATATTTGCAAATTGCTCTAAACAGAATCATAAAGTGGTCCAACAACGGTTTTAAATTTTCTAGCCAGAAGACCGTCTGCGTGCATTTCTGTCGCAAAAGAAATCTACATCCTGATTCAGAGCTGCATTTTGACGGCTGTTTGATCCGCTTTGAGCCAGAAGCAAAATTCCTAGGAGTTATATTTGACAGAAAGTTCACTTTCCTTCCGCATATCTTAAATTTAAAGAAAAAATGTGCTAAAGCTCTCAACATACTAAAAGTCCTTGCCAATACTTCATGGGGAACATAACGTTGTTCTGTGCTCCACATTTATAGAGCTTTAATCCGCTCCGACTTGATTATGGCTGTGTTATCTATGGATCAGAAAGACCTGTGCTACTGAAATTGGATCCAGTCCGCCATCAAGCTCTAAGGATTTGCTGTGGAGCTTGCAAAACATCTCCAGTCCAAAGTTTATATGTCATCTGTTTTGAACCATCTCTGGAATTCAGACGCAAGCAGTTGTCCATTGAACTTCATTATAAAGTAATGTCACAAACCGAACATCCTGCCCGACTCATGACATCTGGTCAGTACTGGAGTAGCTACCCAGCACGTCCTTCATGTATCCCACATTTTGACATTCGCATTCACTCATTGAAGAATTCAACCTAAATGATCTGCATCCCAAAACCTTTAACTTTTTTGGTATCGCTCCCTGGCAAGAAGTGAATATTCACCTACTTAACATTTTGGAGAACTTAAGAAGAGCAGTACCAATGATGTCAATTATCAATAATTTTTCCTAGAGCATAGAAGCAGTCATTCTAACTATAGAGCAATTTTTACTGATGGCTCAAAGAATCATGATCATGTCAGGGCAGCTTTTGTCTGTGATTAAGAAATCAAGAGTAGTAGACTTCATAAGGCTGCATCTGTCTTTTCTGTAGAAACTTTTGCTCTTTTGAATGCCTTAAACTTTATTTCTAAGCGGAATAGCAGAAAGTTCATCATCTACTCTGACTCTCTGAATGCTCTTGAACTCAATAAATACAAATAACAGCCACCCTTTGGTCCTTAGAAATTTTAAAGGCACACCTCCATTTGAGAAACGCAGGTTATTATATTACGTACTGCTGGGTGCCTGGACATGCTGGCCATCAAAGGCAATGAACTCGCCGAAATCGCAGCAAAATCTGCTGATATTACCTCAGAAAATGATGTCCCTTTTACAGACAATTACGGAATCAGAGCAAACAGATCTTCTCCAGGTGGCAAGAATTCTGGGAATAACAAACTCTGAACAAATTAAAGCATGGTAAAACCCAATTTGGAGTACTCTTGGGAGTCGGAGAGGGAATCAGAAGGAGGATGTACTGCTGACTCGCCTACGAATTGGTTACTGCAGACTGATACATCCGTATCTCTTGAAAGGAGATAATGAGCCTATTTGTGGCACTAGCAACGCTCCCATTTCAGTCGATCACATTTTAACCTGCTGTCCTGCTTTTAGTCAGAAACGTGATTATCATTTTAACTCTACGAATGTTCAACTTAACAGATCTCATTGGAAGAAACCCCCACATCAACCTCATAAGATTTTTAAAAGACATCTCTTTTTACCATATGATTTGAAGTTATTTTCCTTTTATCCTGCTCTACCTGCATTTCTCACACTCATTTCTCCATAACTTCATCAGCATTACAGGTTCATTTCGACAATTCATTTGACACAGTGTGTTTGTGCTTTTGGAATTTATTCACCATTCGTTTGGCGCATAATAACCTCCAACGTTTTGTGCCGTTAAAAGTCAACCAACCAACTTACTGCTTGTTGTCCCGTCCTGAAAGCTAGAAGAGTGCCATCTACATCTGTCGAACAGTACCGCGAGAACTTACGGAGAATAAAGCCATATTGATGAAATTTTTTATGCAACTAAGCTACAACTCAGTAAATAGATGTACATATTTTACTGTAAATGCAATTTATTTGAATTTTAACTGAACTTATTCATTTAGTATGATGTGTCCTCCTGTGTTTTAGGAAGAAGAGAAAAAACTAACTCGCCTCCATGACATCTGGAAGAAGACTGAAAAGTAAATTTTCCTGGTTAAAATTCAGAAGTATTCAAGATTTAGCATTAGTCATATTAACTAACTTTTAAAGAATAAAAAAAGCACATCTGGACACATAATTGCATTTGTTGATCAAAATTCATTGTTAACCAAATCGAAGCTCATTGATGACGCGATGATAGCGATTGTCGAGTAGTGTTAGTCATGCTGACTCTTTTCTAAACAATGCAGTTCATTCTGTAAGTTTTTCAGTTAAACGGAACAGAACATTTCTGAACGCAGGTCTAGTAGGGAAACAACAGGACAGAATATGAGAAACATTGAAAGCTCTTGTTAAATGATAAAATCTAATGACGCAACGGACTAAGCAACATTTCGTAATTTCTGCTAACTGAAATTCGCATTAACAGATAAAACTTCTTGTAAGAGCATATCTATCACTGCCAGGGTCGAATTTTGTTGATGTTACCGACTGTTCGCCTTAAGCGAGTTCGTGCTAAAAAGGTTTACTATTAATATCTAAAATTATAAACGATGCGCAAACATAAATTATATCTCCCATATCAGTTTTTGGGCTTGTACTCAAATAATGAGCTCAGTTATTATTATTCTTTATCCAGGTAATTATTATACAGATTAGTGCATAAGGTCTTCAATAATATTGTTCAACCCGTGGAGGTAAGATATTCGAATCTGCACACTTCATCCACTGCACTCTAATACCCTAGCGTGTTTCCCTCCATGAAATGCCGTCATATTCTTCGAATTTTCCGTCAATTTTCTCTGGCAGTACCCTGAAAAGCACCTTATAATAAAACCACAGAAATGGAAGACAAGCCAGGCGTATGACGTGAAAGGAATAATTATGATGATGATATTTACGTTCATGGATACAGGACAAAGTAATTTGAAGGCGACGAGCTGTGATGACGTTCGGAAAATTTATCTGCACATAAATTTGTCCTTCATATTCATGATTTTTATGTCTGATGGCAGGCAACTCTGTTTTGATTATGAAACTTTAAGAAAACTAATGCAATAAATTTTTAATGAGAATTTATTTATAAATTTCACATCAGTGTACCTGAAGTTCTGAATAAAATTGAAACTGTAAAATAAATAAGAGAGCAAACTAATATTTTATGCGGGGGGGGGGAATCTGATTCTACAAAATGAACCAATTTAATATGAGGAGGAATGATGCTAATAACAGCATTTGTTGGAACAAAGTTCTTCTTTTAAGTGCCCTGTCTGTAATACTTATTGACACTGCAATATAAAAGATCAGATATTGTTCTGAATGGATGTAGTCGTACTTTTCATGTAATGCTGAGCATTTTCTAATGATCTCCGGGTTTGCCTGAAGAGCTCATTGCGTACTTTCAAAGAAAATATTGGCTTTATGTCGTTACGTTTTCTTTCTACCTTAAATACTTCCTTTATTTGCTCACTGTTACGGCTGTGCTTTTATTCAGATGTCAGATTCAGTCTCCTAGACAATTAATTTACTCATACTGTTGTATACAAACAACATAAATCTCTGCAAAGTTACTTAACATAACGCGAGTCATATTTATGCAAAAGTGTATTTATTAATGGAGTTTCTTGTTTGCACAGGCTGATTTTTAAGTGATCGAGATCTGTTACGAAACTTTCGACATTCTGCTATCAAGGCCATCACCGAATCTGAATGGGATATTTCTCAAAGAAAATAATTTTTCTGTTTGACGTTAATACAATTTTTATGAGGTATTTGATTCTAGTTTCATAATTTCTTCTAGTTTTTAGGGGCCCAAAGCAATAAAAATCGCCATTATAATAGAAATAACTATCTGACACCCACCTATTCATGGTAAAGCATCTTTTAATAAATTTTAAAAATTGTATTTTAATTTTGGATAATTTGAATTTTCAGTAGAAAGCTTAAGAATTTAAGATTTATCAACAGTGAATTAAACTCATCCTCTGTTTTCACATCAGAATATATATGCAAGTACATAATTACCCGAAGTATAACAATAAATTTATTTAAAGTAGATTTGGATACTCGTTTCTCAAAGCTTTTCATTCAGCATTGCGCAAACTCCCTTGTATCCTCGAAAACAAAAAAATATTTGGTTTTATTAACGAATAGGACATGCACACTTTTTTCGTTTTTTAAAGGATAATCGACAGGCCCTTAGTGTTACTGTCAGTAAACTAAATATCTCTTAGTTGAAAAAGGAGATACCAAGCTTACATGGAGGAAAAGCCCATTGCGTCAGATTTGGATTTCTGAAGAGTTTGAGCAGTTTAGACAGCAGTTACTTGGACGGGTGTTGTTGCAGAAAAACACATCTCTTGACACAAATCCTTGACATTTGCTATGAATGGCAAACTTTAGTCCGCTAGAATACCACTTTAACAAGCACTATCTATTGTTGAGTCCTCCTCCTGTTTATATCCCAACATTGGGCCTTGTGGCAACCAAGATTCTGTGAGATTCTTCAGATGATAGGATTTTGAACTGCTACTTGCACGGCAACTGTTGATGTTTTGATTCTCTACCGTTTACTCACCGGCTTGTAATGACAAATATAATTTTCTTCACAAGCCTGTAGTTTTATCAAAGAACTTGTGACAAATATAATTTTCTTCACAAGCCTGTAATTTTATCAAAGAACTTATCCAAATGTTTTCAGCATATTTGCAACAATGTTCGTTTAGGGAATGCTGAGGTTTTGGAGGGAACTATTTTGCAGAAATATTTTATGTTACATGTACTCTTAAGTTTTATGTTTGTTTTGGACTGTAAACAGAAATCTGAATTCTTCCTCATGTGTAAACTTATGGCTTTTTAAAAATTATTTTTTATTCATTTGGTAAGTATTTCGTTACAAAAGCACAATTCCTGCACTGCGCTTGACTTGTGGTATCTAACACATAGTCTGAACAAAAAATTCCGGATCATACAACGCTAGTTTTCTTGCACAGACACAAAGTGGCAGATCAGTAATAAATGACAAGGCAGTGACGATAAAACTGAGTTTGGAATACCAAATCTGCTCACGTATAAAAGACTACGCGCGCACACAACGTCGCTGCTCAAAATTATAGTGGGACACAGTCGCATTGTGGACAAATGTTAATTTATTCTCATATATGTAATTTTTTTGTTATCCCGTTCTACATTTTACAAATTATCGTATTTGCAGAAGCAAATTGAATAAAAAACACTTTATTTCGTTTGTAGATTTTCAACAAATTGAAGGAAAAGCAACCTGATGTTTTACAGAAGGTAAGAGTTATCTCTGGAGATCTCTCTCTACCAAACCTTGGAATGAGCAAAGAGGATGAACTTGAAGTAGCAACAGAAGCATCCATTGTTTTCCATTGCGCAGCAATAATAAATTTCTTGAAACCTCTCAAGTATGTTATTCAATCTAAAAGAACTTCATTCTTATTTAGGATATAAGCCATATTTTCTGTTTTTATTGCTAGTGTTAATATACTATCAAACTGTAATTACAGCAGCTTTCATAGTTTTCCCTGTTGGAAAATATTAGATCATAATGATGTTCAGGTTAAACATATGTGTTTTAATAATTACAGTAATTTTGAACCATCGCAATAATTTAGATGCAGTGGTGTAAGATAGTTTGTAAGTTCACAATTTACACTAAGTAAAAGCACTATAAACTTGAGTACACAAGTTCCACCTTTTTTGGGGGAGGGGAGGCTTTTAAGGGCGAGCGTAGCTAGGGATTTTAAGCATTGCATAGAGGATATGTAATCTAATTGGAAAAGAAAAGTTTAATTTTTGAAATAACATGTGGATTACCGCTAAAAACTTAGCCAGTTATGGAGATTAGTCATTGCAAAAGGATTTAAATCAAATCTTTGATTGGAGTACTTAGAATATATTTCTGTGTGAAGCCAGAAGCAGTAGTACCCATCATAATGCGATGAGCACTTCGCCAGGCTACGCTTTCATTTATTGCAGTAAATCATCTAAATAAGACTTTTATCAACTATTTGCTTTCGGTACAACGGTACCTAGAGCCATCCAATTTTGTACAACGTACGTTTGCACCCGGATATGGGCCTCTGGAAGCCCAAATTTGGCATTTGGAATTTGTTTTATTATCTACTGCATATTTTGTAAAACTTTAAAGAATTTTTTATTAACAAACTCAACAATTTAAAAGCGAGCAACGCCAACACTTTACGGGAGGGGGGGAAAAAGTTTTTATCTCCAGCTCGCGAAACTAACGCGGCTTCGCCCATATTCACAACAAGCTAGCTAACTAATCTGAATGGTGAATTGTGCGAAGAATGTTTCTCATCAATAATACTAAATCCACGTTAAAGTGAAAAGACCCAGAGCTTAAACTGCGCTGGAGCCAGTCGGCTCTGCTACTTTTAAATTTTTGAGATAAATTGTATTTTTCGCTCGAGCACAGCGGCACTTCTTTTATGTAACTGAACAATTTCAGAAGAAAATTCTTTTGATTTCGAAAATTTTACTTTAATAGCGAGTAAACCTTAAAAATCGATTTTCACTTCTGAATGCATGCTTGTCTTTCTCTGGGAAACAGATCCTTTCACGGAGATCGAGATTTTTAACGAAAGAAAACCCCTCACCCACATGTGAAAGGATTATTTTTCATAAAATTCAATGGAATTATACAAGAAGGTAAATCTTCCGTTCCCGAAAATGCCACTCGAGGTTTTGTGCCATTTAAAAAATCAACCAACCAACCAACCGAAAATGCCAGTTGTCACTGTGGAACCGGCGTCAAATGTGAATGACTTGTCATGCGAAAGAGCACCTGCAGACTTTTTGGAACGATGTAACTAAATACAGGATTAAAACGCTTTAATTCTTTCAACTTTTCTCATTGATATGCTTTCCAACACATAAGGAAAGCAAAATGCTTTGTTTCTATTATTCCTGAAAATAGTGTACATTATACTGTGCATTCAGTGCTTAAATTCAGCTAGACCCGTGGCTATATTAGGGAATTTTGTTTCGTAATTTTTGCTATATGTGATGCAAATAAGAGCCAATTTCTCTTAGGAGCTCCTTTAAAAAGGCATCATTTTCCTTATGCCCATATCACACATGCATTTGTTTCATACGAAAAATTGTTTCGGCCAATTTTTCTGCCTGGTTTACTATTTAAAGAAAGACGTGCGATTTTTTCCTTCCTTTACAAATAATAATAATAATAATAATAATAAATGCAAGTTGTTCGTTTTAAACCAATCAGCTATCAGCTTGTTTGTAATAAAGAACCAGTTTTTCCTTGACATGTTAACCCCAGAGATGATCTGCGCTGATTAGCTGTTATGACAAAGCAGAAAAATTGTTTCAAACAGTTGTTCTTCCGGAATAAACAGATGTATGGTAGGAGCTTAGGCAGCTAGCGATGACATGATATTCTCCGGAATGAAAGCAATCGAACGCGCCGTGCCCTACGCAGTTTTTATTGCTTAAATGCCCCTAAATTACCAACCTAATTCTCTCCTTTAAAGTCTACTCGCGAAGTAATTCTTTACCTTAAGTGGATATTTCAGTCTCAGTATTTTAGAACTTTACTATGATTGTATGATTTTTTTTCCTTTATTTTTTTTATTGTATGGGTCGGGGTAGACAAAATGATAACTTAATAAAATTAATTTATTTCTTTCAGGTACATTCTTTTGCATAATGCTGTTGGAACAGCTAATGTGATAGATTTCTGCAAGAAATTTAAAAAATTAGATGTAAGTTAATTGATATTTTCCATTTACATGTATATATAGTTTAGTCTGTGTTAAGTTAAAAATGACGTTTTCTTTTTTGATAATTTTTCTAGGCTTTAGTGTACACATCCACAGCCTATTCTAACAGCAATAGAAATGCTGAAATTGAAGAACAAATTTACAGGCTGCCGTTTCCATCACAAAGATTTTTGGATATGCTCAGGTAAATAACTAATAACAAATAAGAAGCATGAAAAATTATGACACCATTTTAATTTTTGCGTTAGTAACTGATTATAATTCAGTAATTCAGAGTACTTGAATATTTGTATGCATTTTGTTTTAGGGATATATAGGATAATTCTTTTAAAATTGGCAATTTTAATGCCAGTTTAACTTGTAAAATCTTTTAACAGGATAAAAATAACAGGAATTTATTATGCCACAAGTGTAGAGTATCTGTCGTAGATTATTACTATTTACAGCAGATACACTCTTAGACAAAATAGACAAAATAGACAAAAAAAAAAAGATGCACCATGACGCACCGAGAAGATATAAAGCAAATTGGACAAAAATTGATATGCTTACAGGTTTCGACGGAAAATGCAAAATTTTACATTTTGGCTGCCAATCAATGAATTAAACTATGAATTAAAATCTTCCAAAGAGTCATTTTTCAGAGTAGAATAATTTCTGAAAACTGTTAAAAGATTTTACAGGTTACCTGTTGTTTGAAACTATATTCTTCAGTGCTTATTTTGATGCAGATTACTAATGCTTTTTAACCATATCCGAAAAAATGATTGTCTATTCATTTACTTTATGTGTGTTTCTATTTACAATTTATCGTGCAAGTCACTAAATTCTATGCGTTTTGATTAGCAATGGAAGTGACGAGGATCTGAGAAATCTAGTGTCGCAGTGTTATCCAAAATGGCCAAATACTTACACATTCAGCAAGTGCTTAGCAGAGAACATATTAGCAGAACAAGCAGCTGATTTTCCAGTCTCTATCATTCGTCCATCGATCATTATTAGCTGTTGGAAAGGGGCGCTGCCGGTAAGTAAGAATTTAAAATTAATTAAAATTGCATTCAAGGTGAAGGAAATATTTGTATTTTCTTGCCACGAGTACTTCGAACTCGGTTGCAGCCTGTCAAAATCCTTCGACTCATCCAGCAAGGTTCTGAGCAAGAAAAACACTCATTTGAACTTAAAGCTAAGAATACGCAAGTCGTTAGAATTATTTTACAGTTTTCGGCTAAATATTCAGATTTTATGTATATACTTCGAGGGCTTTCTAATTACGAGTTCTTGAAAAGCTAAGACACAAAATATTTAAAGAAATAAAAATATAAAATCGTTCCCTGTCTTGAATTAAACCATTCAGCCTACTTTTTAAGTAGGGCGGTGCAAAACCATTCTTTGTTTTTTGGGCTTATAATTGCGCAGTTCTTGGTCAGAGAGTACCCAGGCACTTCTGGAATATAAATAATTAATATCACATTTCTTAGATTAACTTAAAGTTAAATAATTAACTTGTTATTAATTATGTCCTTTTTTTCTCTTCTTTCGAATTCGGTTCAACAGACACATTTTTCATTCACATTATGTTAAAAAGCATTCACTTTCAATGGTATTTTGCTGGGGACAGGGGACGTTCAAATACTTTTTTTAAAATTGTCATAGAATTATGAAATTTTGCATGCATGTATATTTTACTATAACTATATAAAATATATTTGAAAAAAATTTCTGGATCATTGCAATTAAATTTTTTTTCAAATTTCTTTTGAATTTTTTAAATTTTTTCAAAATGCTTCATGCGACTTAATTTTTCTGTTTCTTGTTATTTTTGCTTTATTTTTTATTAAAAATGCATTGCAAACACAACTTAGTATCAATTAGTGAATTGCATAAAATGTTAGTTTTTAATTAATATTTCTTTCACATATACCTGAATTTTGGACAAAATTTCCCACTTTAATTGGACTTTTATCCCCTTAATGAATTTGCATTCAAAAATGCATACTAATTTTTGTTACATGCATAAATGTGAATCTAAATACAAATTACAGTCATTTTGACATAAAATAAAGCGCATGGAGTATTTTGAAGATGTAATAATCGCGAAAATTTCATTATGAAAAAAATACATTTTAAGAATATTTTTACACTTACCTATAATATTTACTTCTTAACATATCCTCATATATGATTTTATTTAATATAAAATATTTTAACATTATTTTACGTATGCATAAATAATGTTTTTACTAATAAAATCGTAGAATGGTAAGAAATACTAATTATTATTTTAGAAATTTTCTCGAACACTTTCAGTAAATTCATCCAAATACTTCTTTTTTAAACTAAGATTCACTTTAAAAGCGTCCTGAACCATATGTTTCCCCTTCCTCATTTACATTTTCATTATGTTTACCTACCTTACATAGTTTTTTTGGTAATTCTTCTTTTCTTGTATCCAGTAGAACCCTTCTTTTTGCTTTGATGTATACCACGTTTATCTTGCCTCTGTCCAATAGATATTGAACATGAATTTATATCTTTATGTTCCATACCTAAAGTATTTAAACACTCAAAATTGAAGTCACTAATTGCTGTGATAACAGTTATTTAGAGTCTGTTTTCAATACAAATGTTTCCTTCGGGCAGTTCTTCCAAATGTCGCTATGTGAATTTTAGTTAGTGTTTTGTATTTTTTCAGATATGGATCATGCTAAAAGCTGATTACTGGCTAGTCATTGATACACTGGCAATCTTTTGGATAAAACATTTACTGTTGATTTGTTTTTCATCATTGAATGAGATTTAGGTTTCATATTTTTAGCAATGCTAGACTTTTAAAAAAAGAAAAAATGATATGACATCTGTTGGGTATTTATAATGTCTGGGTAACTCATCCGTGAAACGAACTTGCATAAATAGCAGTCTTCATAACCTTCCACTAACAGTAAAAATAGTGTCGCGGAAATTAAAATAATGTTTCTCAAATGTTTGTTTACTTTTTATTGACACACAAAAAGGTAAACAAGCGTATTCAAACGCTTATAACTTCTTTAAAAATAATTTTACATAAAAGTACATTATTTGTAGACGATAGAATTAAAACCGAATAATATTATCATGTGAAATTTTTATTTCCCAATTTTTGGTCGACTTTTCATAAATAATCGTCCACTGTTCCCTTACAGTTTGCGTGGTTTTTCCGTACGCATAACGTAAATATAAGTCAGTTCTTATAATAAGTCCTCTACGAGGAAGGTATCCGCCGAAGCTGCCATGCTCATTTAAACAAATAAATCCCACGATCTATCGGATACAGGATATTTTCTGGCCTAAAGTAGGTCAAGAGACCGATCAGAACTGAAACGGCTCTTTCGAAGACTGTCTTTGACATAAGAAATGAAGCCATTAGCAAATAAAGGGAAAACAGAGCTCGGTGTTCATTGAAGTTGCAAAATCAGCCATTAGGAGGAAACGTCATGAACAAAATATTCATGACAGAGCAGTAATATCGAAGAGAGTTTTATTGAAAGCCTATGTAGTGAAATGGGAAATGTAGTGGGGATTATGGGAAATGTAGTGAAACCATAAGCATTAATCATGGTCCATTGGAAGAATGTCATGAGGTCAACCGAATGATCCATTCTGTTGTTTTCCATATCAACACATGAAAACATCTAGAGAAGAACTAAGGAAGGTAATGGCCAGTATTGTGTCATACCAAGAATCAAGCGTGGAAGCAGACTTGCATGATTTAACCAGTCTTCTCAAGATATTCTCTAGACCCTTTTATAATACTAACAGTGAGAGACTGCCACAGATTATTTTGAAATTTTAGCCAGTTGTAAGTCTATTCGATGAAGAACTCTTTCTTACAGGCGATGTTATATCTAAGGATTACAGCTCTCTTATTCGCGCAGTTAACCGATACACTCAAATTGCCCCCCCCCCAAAAGAGAGGGTCAAATATCTCATATCACCACAATCCTCCGACTTCAATATGGAACCATAGCAATATCATCGAAACTGTTTAGAGGTCGGGTATAGATCACCAGCACTTTTGTCGACTTTGCTCAATTTCTTCACAAAGAATGGTATTATTCCCTTAATCAGTATTCATAGCTTGAATAATTTCATTCCTACCTTAAGAAGAATATGTGTTAAATGCAGATATTAATGCTGATGGTGACCTAAGTCATAAGGTGGAAAAACTGAAATGAAAAATCTATACGTCAAAGTAAACAAAAAAAATTCCGTAGTTTGTCTGCCCATTTGGCAGTTATACGAGATTTCTGATGGCTTAGGATTGATGAAAAGAAATCTGGAAGGGCAGAATGAATACGCGTCTACAAGCTTGTCAACATAAAAGGGGTCATAACCTACACGTGCTCGATGGCTTTCATTCACCCCGGAAGGAGTCCTCTTTCCTCTGAAGCCAAAGAACAATTTGTATACGTTAGTTTTTAAGGGAGCATTGGATATTTTTTGTTACATAGGAGAGAACAATGTTCTTTTTAATTAACTCCAGAACATTTTCCTAAGAGACCTCACTGATGTATGACTGACAGTTAACAATGCCTGTCATTGGTAGAAAACGAGAGCATGAATGAAATGTGATATCATCACAAACCATAGTGGTCGTGCTAGGAAAATTAACTATTATCTGATTAAGCCTTTTAGATGACATTCTCCACTGGGTGCTGGTGCTAGGACTGCTTACTACTATCTACGATGCAGCCTTTCAGATGACTGTGAGGAACGAGGTTTGGCCATTATGATCCTAGCTTTGAATCGAGACTTGGAAAAGATGACTTGTGCGCGTTAAGCGTTTCGGTGACTTTGCTCCTCACACCATTGTTGCAGTTTATGAAAACTATCGCACAAAGTCCAAGTAAGTTGCAGTAAAAGACATTGGCCACGAGCAGTCAATAAGAAAAGCGTTGTCAGAATGGACCTGAGGATTCATTGCCTTCTATTGTTGGGATAAAACTGCGCATTAACACCGTGTGGAACAACTGCCTTTTCCGCTTTAATATAGTTGTTCGTGCTCTAAAACAGTGGTCTCTTAAATGGGGTACGCAAGATAATACTTGGGGTACACCAAAAGAATTAGGCTTACGATCCCTTTGTAACCAATTTACATATCTTCTTAGTATTAAAACAAGAGTTCCAGTGGAACATACACCTATTTTCTGAAAACTTTAAAATATATCATTTTCGATTGCAATTCAAGAACAGTTAACTGGTGTATTTAATTTGGTGTATTTAATTATGGCAAATCACACTAGGGCTATCTGCCTAAGGGGAGGGATGCCTTCGTGGAGGACTTTCTAAGGGGAAACTGGCTCGTATACACGTTACACATAGGGAAAACCACGAAAACGCCCATGCAGCCAGCCCGTTCGCGGGATTCGAACCTCAAACCGAACTACCAGTGTTCAGCGACTTTACCGCTCGGCCGCTGGTGGGCCGCGAACAGTTAACTGACGTGAGAGGAAGAACAACATTAAAATCCGAATTTAAAGATTTCTTAACTGGTAAATGGGATTGAAAACCACATACCAAGCTTTAATAAGTACAGCAACGAAAGCAGTCTTAACATTGCATACCTGTATGGACTATCGTTTCTGCAATGAAAAAATTAGTTCTTAGGTGTAATATCGCAACCACCTTAGTATAAGTCGTCGTATTTTCAGAAATCGTCAAACTCTGGCAACCATGCGCCTAACAGTTCTTTAGGTAACCATTGTAAGTTTCAATCCGAAAAATCACCTGCTTCTCGTTCACGTAAGCGAGAAGTTGAAAGAAGTCTTTGTCGCATTGTGTGGTCTTCTTATAGATCTCTTGGGCTTTAAACCCTTATCGGTTCTTGTTCTTTTATTTAGCGATGCTCACTTTGAATTTATTCATATTTCTTAACGATGTTGTGGAGGTTGTATGTGTGATTATGGCAAAGCCTCGAGGGCTATTTGCCTAAGGGGATGGATGCCTTCGTGGAGGACTTTCTAAGGGAAACTGGCTCGTATATACGTTACACATGGGGAAAACCACGAAAACGCCCATGCAGCCAGCCCGTTAGCGAGATTCGAACCTCGGACCGAGCTACCAGTGTTCAGCGACTTTTACCGCTCGGCCACTGGTGGGCCCATGTTTTGGAGGTTATTGCTAATATCAGCAAAGGCACTCCGTAAGCCAACGCCTTGGTCCGAATCGCCTTTATTTTTGTAAAAAAATCGTCAAGGTTGCGCTAATATAGAAGTACCAAAAATTAAACTATATAATTTCTGTATTTAGAGTTAGAACCAAATTTTCGAATGACACTAACAGAGGTCATCATACCATATATGTTTAAGCAAATAAAATCAAATTACTCACATTAAACTGTTATTTAAAATGTAAATTTGTAATTTAATTCAAATATATGTACATTTCTTAATACAAAAAATAATAAATGTGATTTTTAACTACAGACACACACAAATATGTATATTATATGGGATACAACTTATAATCATTTTCGCCTTAGGGGTACGCCTATTGTCTAGAATTCTATGCATCGAATTTCTTTCCGGCCATTGTCTAAGTCTGCATAACTATACCATCATTTCCTCCCAACTAGAGGAGTGAATTCTCGGCGAGAGAAACCTTGAAATCGCTGCCATCAACTTTTCATAATGATACGTTTTGAGCAGAAGCAAATATTTAAATAATAAGTGTAATACCAATCGAATTCACTGATACACTGCTTGAGATTTTGCACCCGCATCTTATTTGCATAAGCGCCTTGCATACGCGCAGCCTGTTAACTTAGGCAACTTGTAATCATTTGTACTTCGCGTGAGATGGAGCCCAACTGTCCAGTTTCTGGTTGATGTGATAACTCTGATGTTTTGGTATTGCAACTTCACTCAACATCATCTTCATTCAGTATTGACAAATTTCAATATTAATAATTGATGCTTCATTTATTCTGATAACAAATGTGTGAATCTAACAAAAACGTTATGTTCATTTGTTTTTAAGTTTGACTGCCGAAAAAAGTTTTCGAGGATTTTTCGAAATAGCTGGTTTTCCCTTTATTAGTTAGGGTCACCGCATTTCAGAATCAAAAACTGAACGTTTCTTTTTTATAAATGTTTAAATTCATAGTAAATTATTTGTTTATTGTAAAACATGGGGATTTATGCAAAAATATTCTTTGCATTAACTGTGTTTTGTTTCACATTCACGATCTTCAATATTTTAACAGGGTTATGTTGAAGAAGGTTCTGGCATGGTTGCCCTCGGTCTTGGGGTGAGTATTAACATTTTTCGATTGTTTGATAATGAATCCACTTAAACTTTTTTTAATTAAAAGAAACTAAAAAAAAAGTGTATTGTATCATGAAATGTGTTTTAGCTTTACGAAATTACGAATTAACTTCGAATAAATTTATTTTTAACTATGCCAACTTGAAATTAAGTAAAATGAATTTGTGTTCTGCCAAATTTGCAAAAACTTAATTCCCCCTCCTCCCATATAAAATTAACATACTGCAGCATTATACAGAATCCAGTTTTTTGCTTTGCTCGGTTGTTCTAATGCAAACTTTTCCTTTTAGATTGGGAAAGGATTTGTACGTGCTATGCGTTGCGACCCAGAAAAAATAATCCATCTTGTCCCTGTAGATATAGTCGCAAATTGTCATGTAGTTGCTGCTTGGTCTGTAGCAACACGCAGGTAAATATCTTCATTTTTTTTGCAAAACTTCCGTACTATATCAAAATGCATTTTAAATCTTTTTCGTACCTTTCTTCGATAAGGGACTGCTGCTGAATAAAAATTTTACTGTAACGTGCCATCAGTATCAACGAAGATGTTAAAGAGTTTACTTTCTATCCAATTCATTTTGTATTTATACAGCTCTTTCTATGTCTAAATATAGCCCTTTAAGTCTTATACAGCTCTCTCTTTCTATGTCTAAATATAGACCTTTAGGTCTAATATTTTTAACTATTGCTTTAGATAGACAAGTATATTGAAACATACTTTTCTCCTGATGATGAGGAACCTGAACCTATTCGGCTCGAAATCGGTAGAGTCTTGGTAAAAATATACGCCAAACAGAAAGAGTGTTGCTTTGCCTAACTTTGATTTGCCTTGGCATATCTCTGCTCTCTTAATGTACAAGTTGTTGGAAAAGTGGTTGCAAGCTTTGTTTTCTTAAAGATTGATCCCAGATATGCATTTTCAGTTATAAAGTTTCTTAAAACAGTGTATATGGAAACAGTAGTAGCATATGAAGTGAAAGGTTCGATGAGCATAAAATCTTAACATTTTATATGTTCAGTTTAACTAAAAAATTTCAGTTAGGAAAATATTTGCTGGTTAATGCGGAAAGGTTGCCGTGAAAAGTTGGCGGTTTACCTTTGTTATACACTAACTACCAATAAGTATTTGGACACCTGTGATAGAAAAGAAAAACTAACTTTATTCAAAATCAATAGTTGGTAGAACCTCCACGAGAGGTAATTACAGCGTGAACCCTCCTAGAAATACTTTCCACAAGTCTTTGTATGACAGCTAGTGGTATTTTCTTCCACTCGGCTTGGAGAAGACATAGAAGTTCCTTCACCGATTTTGCACGGGTAGTGCACCTCTGAATTCGGCGATGCAACTCGTCCCAGAGGTTCTCGATAGGGTTCAGGTCTGGACTCTGGGCAGGCCAGTCCATTCGATGAACTCCATTGGCACCATACCAAGCCTTGGTTAACGTCGAAACATGACAACTGGCATTGTCGTCCTGAAAGTAACAGGGGTCCAACTCGTAAAACTGCCACAACTTAGGAAGCAAATTGTCATCCAAAATAGTGCAGTAGGCATCGGAGTTGAGCTTACCATGAATGGGGACCAAGGGTCCCAGCCCATACCAGGAGAAACACCTCCAGACCATAATTCCACCTCCGACGAACTTGACTGTTGGCACAATGCATTCTGGCAGAAGACGTTCTCCAGGTAGACGCCAGACCCAGACCCTGCCATCTGAAAGGTAAAGGGTGAACCTTGATTCGTCACTCCAAAGAACCCATTTCCACTGATCTACGGTCCAATTTCGATGTGCTTTGCACCACATTAACCGAGCAGCACTGTTGGACTTTGTGATCAAAGGCTTATGGGCATCAGCACGACCATGAAAACCAAGCAGATGTACTTCCTTACGAATGGTATTTATTGAAACAATACTCCCGGATGCCTGTTGAAACTTCTCGCGGATGAGGGTTATCGGTTGGGTGCGGTTCTTCCGAATTTCTCTGAACAGCACTTGTAGGTCTCTATCCCCCAGTTTCGTTGGTCTGCCGACTCGGGGCACATTCCGACAATCACCGCTCACCTTCCACTTCTTAATCACATAGGTCACTGTCGATATTGGGTACTTCAGATCTCTAGATATGTCCCTTAAGGATAGGACACATTTGTGATACCCGATAATTATACCTTTCTCGAAATCAGAGAGCTCCGAACTGCGAGGCATCTTGCATGCGACTAAAGCCGATGCTGTTTCCTACACGATTTATACCGGCGAAGTCCGTGGCGTACCTTGGGACCGCAGATATCGTCATTTGCATAGGTGTCCAAATACTTATTGGTAGTCAGTGTACTATTTCTGACAGATAAACGGGCTGGTTTGACTGTCTAAGATTTTCAGGGTTTTCCTTAAAAAGTAAGAAAGTGTGCGTTTCTGAAAGCAACTAGTCCTTGTTATAGACATTGCCGTAATCAAATAAATAAATACAACGCTAACTAAACTCAAATTCAAAGCAAAATTAAATACCTGTTTATGCAAAATTCAAGTAGACATCTGGGATGAATTTAGTTTTGCATCACTTTTAAGGGCCTAGTAGTCACATAAATTTGAGATTTTTCAATCATAAATGGTAGATAAAAAATATTGGTAATTGCTTATATTAGCTAACAAAGAAATGCTTGACAATGTTAGGTGAACATAACGAACACAGGAGGTAATAAGCACGCAAATCTAGTAAAACTTTCATTTTAATTTGCCTTCTACACAAAATATTCAACAAAAACGTAAATTTTCATGTCAGAAAAGTATTGGCAAAGTTCTAACTGCTATGCAAACTTTGTTATGTTGAGGTCACGTGTTTAGACTGATAAGAAACCCTATTAGTGTAAAGTCTGCAGTGCTGCTTCAAAACTTTTAAAACGTTATTTTGCTAATACTGTGATAAAATGGCTTCGAAGTTGAAGGAGTTGGATGTTTATATTAAAAATATGATTATTCAGCTCAGAAATGAGGGTTTAACTTATCGTGTTACAGGAAAACAACTGTTAACCAGAGAACAGGGATTCCATTGCCTAGCTGACATGATGTCTGCCTTACACGGATTAAAGCCCCTGCCTCCAGAAGCTATTTATTATCACTAAGCAAAATAAGTTTACAGTGGCATACAAGGCCTTCAAGAACACAAGGACATAAGTAACATAGTCATTAATAAACCCTAAAGAAAGCATGTTACAAGTATTACCTATAGCATTCAAACAATAAACCAACTGCTCTCAAATAATTAAGTTCATTGGTAAGCAAAGATTCAGAGGAACAAACTTTTAGCGCGCGGAAAACATAATAGTAAAAAGAAGCCATTTTTTGCTTAACAGAGTGGCATGACTTAGCATGGGGTGGTAAACAAACTGCAAAAGGTTTACGGTACACAGTGGTGCTAAAATCGGTTTCATTGCGGATTATAAGAATATCGAGGAAGGGGAGGGAATTGTTGGATTGACCGTGGATTTTCTCCCGTGATTATTGATAAAGCCGTCAAAAAATTTTCAGATTCCCATCAAAGAAGACATTCCACTGTTAGAAATAATATCAATGACCTTGTCGTGCTTCCATTTTATCCTTCTGTTAGCTATAAAATTGCACGGATTCTCCAGAAATTCGATTTTCAAGTCGGTTTCTCCCCTATTAATAAAATTCATCCTTCGATTCTAAAAGATTGCGTTTCTGTCTTGAATTCTTGGGGAATTTATAATATATCATGTCAGTGTGGTTTAAGATATATTGGCCAAACAAAAAGAGCGTTGAAGTTTCGTATCAAGGAACATGAATCTTATGTCAAAAAAGGGGAAATTAACAGGTCTTCAATAGCGTATCATAGCTGGACTTTTAACCATAATTTTGATTTTGGGTCTGCAAAAATCATCCAAAAGGCTTCTTCCATAGGCGAATTGGATTTTCTTGAGGCTTTTCACATTCACAAAGATTTAGAAAGTTTAGTTAATGATTTGAAGTCCAATCCAGTCCTTCCTAATGCCTTTAAAATTCTACTGTCTTAATTCAATTATTTTTGCCGATAGATGGCGTTACCTCCTCGCACTTGGTACTACCAGAGGGTATAAAAATCCGTTCAGTGGTTGCTTTCCATTAATTGAAGTTCAGATTTTGAGCGTAATGTGCATTTGCCCCTCGCTCCCTATTTTAACTTCGCTAATATTTCTTTATGCTTGATCAGACAGCCTGGCTCAGTAAAAGTAGGCGGCCAGTGCAACTCTGATTAAAAATCTAGTATAACCACGTGCAGTGCTGATAAGCACCACGTGTTTCTGTGATTCCTATTTTCGTCTTTCTATGTATTTCTTTCTCCTGATGAGGAGGGACCTTTAGCTGCCCTCGAAATCGATTGAGTGTTTCATTATACCTACGCTAAATATAAGGTTGTTTTTTTACGATTTTGATTGTCACATTAGCGTGTTTCTCTTCTAGTCTAACTAAACATAAGTTGATTTACTGTTAGAAGTGTTGTAAAAATGTTCAACAGACAGGATCTGCAGAAAATAACATAGCAAGTGGACGGCGTCGAATATTTCCTACAAGGGAAAGCGGGCATTATCAAAAGCGGTTAGGAAAAACCCTAAAATAAGTGCAATCCAGTTAGCCAAAGGTGTCGCTAGTACTTCTCATAAAACTTTCAGTGTACAGACTATACGGAATGTTATATCTGAAGGTAGTTATTATGCAAAGGCAGCTAGAAAGAAACCTTTCATTTCAAAAATAAACAGGAGAAAGAGATTAGCAAAATCTCATGTTAATTTATCAGACGAGTTTTGGGACAAAGTTATTTTCTCCGGCGAATCGAAGTTTAACGTTTTCGGGAGTGATAGACGACAATATGTGTGGATAAAGCCAAACACTGAACTGGAAAAACGGCATTTAACACCAACTGTGAAACATGGTGGAGGGAGCGTCGTAGTTTGGGGCTGTATGGCAGCAAACAGAGCTGGTAACCTGTGCTTCATTGATGGTGTGACGACAGCACGTACGTACACTGACATATTGCGCTATAACTTTAATTTCAGTGCCCAAAAACTTCGCTTAGGAACATCATTCGTGTTTCAACAGGACAATGACCCAAAGGATACAGCGAACCTCACCCGGGAGTACTTACTCTATAATGTTTCTCGCCAGTTAAAGACACCAATCCCCTGACATAAATCCAATTGAAAATTTATGGCACAAATTGGACCTAGAAGTTAGGAAACAAAATTTCCTATAAAGATGAACGTAAGCGTATACTTTTGCAATATTGGCACAAAATTCCCTATATTACAATCAAGACTTCGTTTTTCTCTATGATAAGTAGACTACAAGTTGTTATAAATGCAAAACGTATGAATACAAAGTATTAAATTGTGTTCCCACATTTTGCTGTATGATTTCGCCAATACTATTTTCACATGCAAATTTAAGTTTTTGTTTTAATATTTTTTGTAAAAGGCATATTAAAACTAAAAGTTTCATTAGGATTTGTGTGTTTATTACCTCCTGTGTTCGGTATGGCTACCTAAAATTCTCAAGCATTTCCTTTGTTAGCTAATATGATCAATTATAGGCAATTGCCAATACTTTTTTTAACCCACTGTATAGCTACCAACAATCAAACAGAAGTTACCAATTTTGGCAATTAGCCCGTAAAACAGCATCTCTAAATTAGTAACTTGTCTCATAAAATTAACAATTCACATGTCTTCGACTGCATGTTCGTGAAGAGGATAAAATAAAATTTTAAAATTAAGCAGAATAAATAAAATATATAACTATAATATAGCAAAATAAACATAAATATAATGTATAAAAATAAATAGCTTAATGAATGCAAGTTTTATTCTACGAGGGCTATAAATTAAATTAGATTTTGCATTCTCAAGCTCAGCTTTGAAAATTTTTGATGAAATTATTCATGTTATTAGGAGAAATTTTGCAATTTTAAGTAAAGTGATCCTTCGCAATCTACAGTGAATAAGTTCTTGAAGAAATACGCGGGAAACGAAACCGAGAGTAATGAAGAAAAGAACGTATTGTGTAATGAGATCAGTGTAACATTATCTATTAACACACAATGTGAATAATTTCATTTGAAATGATAACAATACACTCAGATTAGCTTTATTTAAATGACTTTAGCAGTGAAAATATAACTATTATTTATTATTTAGACCATTAACGTGGTGATGGTACCTGAGCTTTGTTTTTAGTCCTTTTCGATATCTTTGAGTATTTCGTAGGGATTCAATAATTACGGAATGTCTTTTTAAACCACAATGATCTTTCCATGAAAAAATTGTCTCGCTTACCTGTTCGCTAAAGGAAGAAAGAGGACAAATGCGTGTTGTAATAATTTTATCGGAAAATATGGCGTAAGTTTCCAATTCTGCCTCATCTTCCAACATTGCCTAATGGTTATGAAATTATGATACACCATAATGTCGTTAATATTTGCCGCTATAATACCGATTGATTTTCCATATTTCTTTTTAAAAATCTTTTCAACGATAAGTTTTTCACACCTAATAGGCCTACTGTGACCATTTTCACTAGCTGTATTCGCTTTGAAAATAGGTATTATTTGATTGCAAAAGCTTGACTTAAGGATTCAGTAATTCAGTTACACGGATTAGGTATGGTCTGAAGCTATATCAATCAACAAGTTGAATGGCCCTGTCATTAATAAACTGTTTATCCTTTGAAAAACACCCACACACTTCTTTAAAAATATGTTTCTTTCATTGTATGTAAGCTGTCTTTTCTGGAATAAAGCATTTCTTGAAATAATCAGCTAAATATCTGCAACCTAGTTTTTTTTTTAGTTAGTTTATTTATAACATTCGCAAGCTACCTTTCAAAAGTCATGTTTTCAATGATTTATAAACAGGTAAGACTTTTATACTCTGGCCACTTGAGTTTGCAGAAAAGAACAAGTTAATTTTTGTAACTTGTGTGGATAAATAATGTAATTGTTTGATTAACAAATGTTTGATTTGTTAAAGTTTGGATTAACAAATGATACATCAAAGACACTATTAACGTATATTACATTCTAAATTAGAATGGCTACACTGTCTTTCAGTATACCTCCTTTGTTTAAAGATTTAACAGTTTATTTCCACTTGATGAAATGAGTACGATATCACACCTTCATCGAAAGACATGAAAACAATGACTGCACATGCTGGAGGTTTGATTATTCACATTTAGAAGAATTAGTAAAAGAAGATGTACCGGTAGCCTCATGAATAACACTTCTGAACACAAGCGGCTCCATCCGGGTTTCGGTCCACCAGCGGCCGAGCGGTAAAATCTCTGAGCACTGGTAGTTCGGTCTGGTGTTCGATTCCGGGAGAGAGCTGGCTGCATAGGCATTTTCGTGGTTTTCCCCAAGTGTAACTTGGATGCGAGTCAGTTTCCTTTAGAAACTCCTTCACGAAGGTTTCCGTTCTCTTCGACAAACAGCCCTCGAGTGCTTTCTCATAATCTAACATGTCAAACCTTCTGCTGCCGAGCTGTAAAATTACTGAATACTAACAGTTCGACTTGGGTTTAAATCCTTTGAAATGGGCTAGCTGTATGGCAGGTTTCGTGGTTTGCCTGTGTGTAGTATGAATATGAGCCAGTTCTCCTCAGGAAGGCCCTTCACAAAGGCACTGGAAATTCCTAAAGGCGGGGACTGTCTGATGAAGAGGACCCTCCTCTTCAAGAGATAGTCCGTATTCAGATAACTTAAACCTCGACCAGCGTTCGAATTCTTTCAGCTGTATGGGCAGTTTTGCTTTTTTTTTTTTTTTAAGTGTAGGACGTGAATGTAATCCTGTTTCCCTTAGAAAGTCTTCTACGTAGGTGAGTTTCACTTCAATCAGATAGTCCTAAAATAATGTTTTACCATAAATGAATACGCAATGCAATTTGGAACTATTTATTATGACACATATATCTAGACATGGAAATTTTTGGTCTCAACACAAGTTTCCACTTGTTACATTTATAAGTGGAGTCTATAGATTATTCAACCATTTTTCGCTCACTTCTCGTCGTGTTTATGCAATAAAGGTGAGTTTATATATATATATACATATTTTCTTCATGTTACAAGGAAGACCTTTTGCATATTTAAAGGTAAGTAACTTCATTTTGCTGAGGATTCTCCTCTGCCTATCTAAAGACAAATTTTCTTGTTAATTGAAGTTTAAACTTTGTGAGAAATCTTCAGAAACTGCAGTAACAATTATCAGTGACGTAAATTCATTGCTCAAAAACTATAATATTCCAAACTTAGGAGAACCTATATATCATAAATTCGACTGGTGCATACTTTTTCTGTAATAAGACTTAAAAATCCAGGATATTAAAAGCTTCGAAAACAAAAAATTCAGTCATTCAATATTTCCTCAGCATAAAAATCTTGTGATAAATGAACTAGGATTCCAGAGGTCAAGGACCTAACTCTTATGGTCCACCAGCGGCCGAGCAGTAAAGCTGGCGAAGGCGTATTTCGACCTGGGTTCGACTCCAAGCAAACGAGCTCCCTGCATCTGATACGTGCTAGTTCCCCTTAAAAGTCTTTCACTAAAGCAGATTGCCCTAGTGTGTTTTGTAATAATCAAATAAACCAAACCTTCATGTTCTTAGTTATAACGCTAAAACATTACGACTTTCAAGCTGAGACACTTCTGCAGCACTGTAGTAACTCGTACAAAGTCTTTGAGACATTTACGAAACTTACTTTTTGAAATATTTTTCAGTTCGTCAACCGATACTTTTTATTATCGCTTCCGGACTGGAAAACAGATCATTCTTAGATCAATGTGCAAGGTTATGAAAAACACAACTCGAAATCCCACCGAGTGGTTGACTCCTGAATACTGCTAGTTTGATCTGGCTTGGGTTCGATTTCAAGGCGAACGGGCTGGCTGCGTAGTTGTTTTTCGCGTTTTTATCCATGCGTAACGCAAAATAAAAGCCACTTTCGCTCAGAAAGGCATTCATCATCTTGGTTTAGACAGCCTTGGTGGCTTTGCTATATTGGAATAATCTAACTTAGCCAAGACTTGAAATCAAGTCCATAAATACAGTTGGTCTGGAACAGCAAGCGTTTAGATCGCAAAAGCGACTTGGCTATAGGATCATCGTGTGTCACCCAGTAAGCCATTCACAGCTCACTGACACAAAATCAAGATTAAAGGTGAGCCGAGCTCAGGAACTACCTTATCGTGTCTTCGTTGTGGTCTTTCGGGATTTCTACTGAGGTGGACATTTAGCTGACAACATTGTAACTGATATCCGCTTTGTTTGATGTCTCGGCTAGAACTACTGGCAATATCGAGGTCATTTGAAGACTTTGTAAAAGGACAGAATGTTATGGCCATAAATTTGCTTCCTTATTGCAGACTTCTTCTTTGGACGTACGCAAAGTTCGCTTTGATTAACACCATTTTTCGCACTTCGTCATCTGCAAAATATCAGATTCGAAAGACAGAATCCTGAATGAAATCAATACTCAGCAGCGTAATTTAACTTGTTAAGCAAGCACATTATCCTATGCAGCCAGTCCTTAAAATGCAGCCGTGTATTATTTTAGTTTTTCACAATATAAATTTCCAATTTAAATGGTTTTTTCTTTCTTAATATGCATTAGATAAGGGTTTAAGAAAGTAGTGTTCAAAATATTTTTATCAGATTTGGAAAGCTTTATGTATAATATTAATTTTATTTTTCAGAACTGCTTCGCCTTTTGTTGTGAACTGCACCACTTCGTCTGAACTTTCTTCATGCACATGGGGACATTACGCAAAAGTTCTTCTGGATATGAGTTTAAAGCATCCATTGCCAAAATCATATCAAAGTCCTTACCTTTCTATGCAAAAGAGTTCAGTTGGTTATTGGCTGCTTTCCTGTTTCGAACATTATATTCCTGCGATTGCTATAGATTGTTTGCTGTGGCTCAGTGGGCGTAAACCCAGGTAAAATTAAGTTGAAATATTTTGCAAACAGTATGAAGGTTCTTATGTTTAGAATTTTGATATTATAGCATCGTTTCTAAAGTTAATTAATACTATGTGTCACTTTGTTAGAGGTACAACGTGCAAAATTTCGGAATATTTCGCAATCTTTTACTGATGACAACTCATGTGCATGCCAGAGTTTCAAAACTCATCTCTCTTTTCTAGGCAGATTAACTTTTGATGCCTTAGCTATAAAACATTGTCTTTTATAGACGAGTTTGAATTCGTAATTAATACATATTTTAAAGAAACTTTTAGTAGATATTTTAACTTCTATGTTCAAAATTTTTCCGTCTCTGTTGCTGAAGAAATCTCGGCACGCTTTACCGGATCCCGTTAAATATTTTCAGTTATACGTTTCAGTATACGTTGTTGTATTTCATTTGCATCACAATAGATTTCTAGGAAGTTAATTGAGCCAGCATGCTAAATGAGTTGGCAATTTCAAGTACTGAATTCTCGAAATGTTTATATGAAAAATGAGAGAACCCTAAAATTTTGCTAAATTTAAACGAAGTTTTACACATGAATTACATTAACAATAAATTTGCAGTAAAATTTGATAATTTTTCTAGTTTTGTATACTTATATAACCCTTTAAGGCTGCTATGAATGAATTTTATGAAACACGTTGGTCTTAAATGTTACACTTCGTCTCAAGCGGAAGTAGCGTTTTCAGACAACTCTGACTGTGGCGAATAATCTAAGAAGTCGTTAGCCAAGTTTTGGGGGCAGAATTTACGAAACTTTGAATTTCTGTTGCATTCCATTTAAAAGGTGTTTCCAATTCAGCTCTTGCAATTCAAAATTGTATTTCAGTCTTCAGGTTGACTTTTAACAACAGGGTAGTTAATTATTTTTTAATTATGAAAAAAAAATTGTGCACTTAGAGCAACACTAAATGTAGGTGAATGCCTCGCTATTTTCGGGCGCTTGAAGAGTATTTGTATTTCACTGATATCTATATGCATTATACAAACATGAATGAATTCGCGGAAATTGGTCATCCCTAATGATTTTCAATAAAGATGAAAGTCTCACTGTTTATAAGATGTTACAGACAGTTTTTTAAGTTTAAAAGTAATCTTTTTTTCTTGTATGCTCTTGAGACTAAAAATTGTTAACACGTCTTTCTTTATTCAGGTTGGTGTCGCTGTACCGATACTTCGAAAGAGCTATGAAATCTGTAGAATTTTTCTTGTTGCGCGATTTTAAATTTCGCTATGATAACTTCAAGAAATTGGACTGGCTGCTCGATCCTGAAGATAAAGAGGTAATGAAATTTTATAATCACTTTCTGTACTAAACTAAAGTCATAGCTAAAAACTGTACTTACTGCATTCAGATTAAATTGAAGATTTACTTAGAACTGATAAGGCGGTTAAATCTGAAAAGAATGACAAAAACCCTTTTAAAAGTGCTTGCAATTACTAAATTTGATTCATTGATTGTAAAAACAGAAGTGCTGACTAAGCTTTATAGATTTATATATCAAAAATATTGCTTTAAAGGCTCACTTGTGAATCGTTCAAAAAGATACTTCAGAGTTAATATAAATATTTATTTATAACTAAAACAATAAATTTTATTATTTGAAAATGATTTTAACAAAGATCTATCTCCTTTCCCCCTGAACAGGTGAATGGCTGTATGAGAGTGGCCTTATACTTAAAATAATAATAATAAAAATTTACTTCCAAAGGGGCGTTTTTTTTAACATTTTGTCCGTTACTTTTATTTATTAAAGATCACGGTCTTCGCACTTAAATCATAAAATTCAGCTCAAGGGCAATATCGCAAAATAGTTTTAAATTGAGCATATATTTAGAATTTCCGATACACAGTCTAGGGTGCTGGTAATAATGTGTTTTTTTTTTTTTCTTTTTTTTGTACAACGTTACCATTGCTCGCTTTGAAATCGAGTTTGTTAATCAAAAATTCATTAAAATTTTACAAAATATGAAATCGATAAGAAAACGAATTCCAAATTTGGGCTTCCATATGCCCATATTCGCAGTAGGATTACGTCATTCAAAATTCGATGGCTCTATGTACCGTTGTTCTATCACAATGTGAGAAATAAACATACATTTATGAAGATTTTTCATTATTTAATTTCTACAAATATAATGCAGAACTCTAACATTTGGTAGCAACAGTTTGAAAAGTGAAATGGACATTTATAGTGAACCAACGCAAAATCGCAAAACGAAAACAACAGTCTTTCAGAGACAAAAGCCCCTTTGGACCCCCCCCCCCAAAAAAAAACTATTTAAATATAATCTTTTTGTACTTCCATAATACTTTTCGCATTATTTAATGAGTAATTCTATATAATATATTTTGCTTATTCTGTACTTGTTTTTGCATTTATTTGTTTCCGGATTAACACTCGAATGATGCTCAGTTAATATGCATTTTTTTCTGTTATTAGTAGCTATTTTTAAAATACCTTTTCTTTAAAAAATAATTTGCTCCCTTGTCTAATTAAAATAGTGAAAATACTGTAGAACAAGGTTTTTATGTATAGTCGAACCGCTAGAGCATTTAGGAACTTTAGCAAATATATATAATACAAGATATGTAACGTTATAGCAAAGACATCTATATAATTAATATAAAATATGTACTTCATATATATATATGCTAGTAAGAAATCTTGGTTATCACAGTTTAAATTTTCAAGTTCTTTTTTCCAGAATAAAAGTATGTATGAGTGGAAGTGCTAAAAATGCTCGGAATCTGTATATGTTTATATATGATCATTAATTTGTTGCCCGATTGTTGAAGTGTGAGATTGGAGTTTGAGAGGTTTCAGTAATCTGAATGTGTATGTAAGGTTTCGCAATGAGCATTCATATTTCCCCTTTTGACCCGAAATAACCTGCCAATGCAGGGGGTGGTAGTACCGGGCATGGGTAAACTTCATTATTTTGAGTTCTGTTATGAACTCTTGTAACTTAGCTTGCATTTCAAAATTTTTCTCTTTTTCTTCTGCCACTGAGTCGTGGATGTATAAAACTTCCGATACTGAAAATTAGTATATTAATATCAAAACTAGGGAATCCCACTGGAAACTAAATAATGTATCCCTTAAGGAAAGTTTTCCCTGATTGAGAACCACTGGGCTTAGCTGCATATTTTTTCTGACATGTTCTCTAGGCAGAGAGCCGTCGAGTGTTTGGTCGTAATTACTAATCAACCAATAAAACAATTATCTTTTTTTCCAAGAAGAGTTGAAATACTCTGCATAGCCAAAGGACAGAACGATAGCTAGGGAGACAAATACATATATGTTAAGCATGTAATAAAACTCGTTTCCTTATACATATATAACAGCAAAAATATTTTTTCAGGTATTTTACACTGATATCAAAGATTTCACAATAGAAGATTTGGCTGCTGATATTCCTACGGGCGCTCCCTTTTACAAGTGGGATATAGACAGGAAACCCTTTGATGATCGTATGCGATCAACGTATATGTAAGTATATCTAAATAAATCAAAACTTTCCTAATATATTAAAAAAATGTTCAGGTCTTCGGATCTGATTTCCAAAATGTGAAACGGAAATATTAAGTCAATGGAAAGAATTTCCGCGTTGGCCAAAACCAAAGTTCAAAATTAACGAAATAAACATTTAAACACAAAATATTACCTGAATAATTGCCATAGGTTTGAAATTCGTTAAAAAATTATCCTAAACTTCAAATTGAATGAATTCTTCAGATAAATAATTTGAAGATGCTTTTTGTAATATCTAGTACAAAATAGTTACTTCCCAAAAGATGCATCAAATTGGTTCAGAATTGTAATTCTAGAATCCACGAAATTCATTAAGAGTAAAAAAACAGTTTTGTAAAGCATGGGAAAGGGGAATTATTTTAAAAACGCTGCTTTCTCAGTAGTTTTAGCTCAAAATTTTATTTTATCAACCACTCAACCACGAGAGCATAAAAGTTGCGCACATACACATCAGACCTTTCACATTTAGCTGATTATTAAAGAAAAGTACCATACAACAGTCATGGTGCAAAAGCATGATAGTGCGTAAGGCTCGTCGGCGCAGGAAGTCTAAAAACTGAAGTTACCTAATCCAGCAAAAAGAAGCTAATAAGTGCTACGGCTCTAACAAGTCATGCAGGAGTCACACCGTTAACTGTATACTGGAAATGAGTTAATTTATCCTACGTCTGCAGCAACGCTGTTCCCAAGTGCTAGAGAGTTATGAGAGGGCAAAGACGCTTTGTAACTACCCTTCCAAAAGAGCGTCCTAGATGTATTGTGTACATTTTAGGTTTGGAGATCTAGCTCGCTAAAAGTCATATAATAGGTAGTTTTTGCTGAATTCATAATGTTCTGAAGAAATAATTGGAATATATACAAACCTATTACTATATTTGGTGATGTAGTGCTGCTTTGGAGATTTCACGAAACGTCATAAAATTTCGTTAGAAAGTTCGCCATAGGTGGTCAAATTCATCAGAAATTTTGCCATTGGCGTTCAAAAACTCCATTTTTAACAGTTTTCCCCCCTGATGATTTATAGAACACTAAAATCAGATTCAGTTCATTTTAAACATTCTACAAAGTAATTAAAATGTTTATATATGTTACTGTCATGTAACTAAACAAAACTTGCAATTTTTTTTTTTTTTTTCTTAGTCGACATTTATTGACTGCCTTCATTAAGTGGTTTGTCGTCTCATTATTCTTCCTGGTGCTGTATCTGATATTCCAGTCACTATTCCAAAGATCCTGATATAATTGCAATACTCATCTTAATTTATATTTCTAATACATTACTCATGCATTTATCGAGTGCTTTAAGAATATTTTGTGTAATTTGTCCAGTATGTTTTATTTTTGTATATGTTGATCTTATAGAAAAAATAAATAAAGTCAACAAATTCGTTTATTCGTCAATTTTTCCTGCATCCGATTTCATTTCAGATCACACGAATTAATAATAATAATAATAATAATAATAATAATAATAATAATAATAATACTAATAATAATAAAAACACACCCTTCAGGATGGTGTTGATTTTCTCATCTGCAGTATTTAGAGGATATATCTAAACAGCTTACATTTGATTACTGTAACCTTACTCTTTAAATTGCACCTGAAATAAATGTTGTTTTGCAGTCCTATTTACTGTAATTTTGCAATTCGTATCTTCACCATATGCCTGTATTCGGGTAGTTCGTCCCGGGATCAAATTCCAGCAAACGGGTGGACCCGTAAGCAATTCCGTAGATTTCCACTGTGTGTAACTGAAATACGAATCAGTTTCTCTTAAGAAGGCCCGTTCCAAGGAAGTCATTCCTTTAGGCAGACATAGGCGTGCTTTGTTATAATTCAAATAACCTTACTCAATGTGCCCATATCACACACGAAAGCTTCCTGCAAAAGAAAACATGTAAATACCCTCCAGCAATTTCTGTGAGGGCATTTTCATAATTCTCTATACGAATTTTCCCGAAGATTCCCTCCACGAAATCTTTCAGCTCAAAGCAGATAGCTTTCGTGTGTTGTGAATTTGTAGAATCCACCATTGATTTGACAAGAAAACTAAAATTCAAAAGGATTTATTTCAAATAATGCGTATTAAACATTTAAGTGACAAAGGAGACAAACATTCAAAATAAATATAAAATTTTAAAGAACATGCATGATATTGCCGTTATGGTGTTCAGAGTTAATATTCCCTAATTTTCCCCTCATGAATAAATCCATAACATTTCTGCTGCAGTTACTATATTAAACTATGTTATGGCGGCTATTTAAGAATGCAGACTGATAGCAATCATTTTTGCAACATTCGCCGCATTTTAATCGGACTTCTGAACAATGGCGAGGAAACCTACTTTCACAGGTACATGAAGGTTATTTCATATGCTTGATCTTGTCATTTATTTATCATCCTTCCCTCTTTTTATACTTAACAGTGTCAGGAATGACGCTTTGAATAATTATAGTTTTCTCATTATACCATAAGTAGGAGGTGGTATATGCTTTTAAGACTAGTAAGATTTTTATTTGGTTAAGCCCATCAGGATCTCATTTTCGCCCATGCAATTTTCATAGGAGAATTGGCGAATATTGCGCTTGTAAATGAAGTAGCGCTGACCATTACTGAAAGAACTGTTCAAACAACTGAAAATGTTATTCAAAAGACATCAATTACGTTCTCATATTTGCCGAAACATGAAATTAATGAATTGCAATAACTCGCAGGTAGCAAATGAACACTTGGAAAATTTTCCGCCTCTCTTTACGTCTAGCCTTTTAAAGAGAGAAAACAAAAATCGAAAAAAGGGTTATTAGATTTATAAGGTTATTTTATGCAATTTATAAGCATATTAGATTTATAGGTCTAACTTCTATCAAATGACCTGTATGAATCAAAGTCGGGAAAAGAATTAAAAAATGTTTCCGGGGTACTTAAAGAATATTCAAAGCTATCTTGGAAATAATAAATGGCATAACAATCATTGGCAGAGAAGAAATAACTAATGCCATCGTTACAAGCATTGCTGTGGTGTCGAATAAAATAAATCATGTGTATTTCTCTCCTCCAAATCATAGTCTGAATAAATAAATAAAAATTAAAAAAAAAAATAAAGCTCTGAAAAGTTTCAGATTTTAAATTGCGTCCAAACGGGCGTTTTTTTTAACGTTTTGTGTGCTACCGTTATTTATTAAATATGATATTCTTCGCACATAAACCATAAAATTCAATTCAACAGCAATATCACAAAACAGTTTCTGAAGAACATACCTTTAGAATTTCCAATACACAGTCGCGGGCTGGAGATAAAAATGTTCTTAATGTCCCCCCCCCCGTACAGTGTTGCCATTACCTGCTTTGAAATTGTTCAGTTTCTTAGTCAAAACCTCATAAATGCTTTACAAAATATGAAATAGATAATAGAACAAATTCCAAATTCGGGCTTCCAGATGCCTGTATGCGGGTAGAGAAACATGGTATACAAAAGTTCATGGCTCTAGGTACCGTCGTTTTATCACAATGCGAGAAACATATATACATTTATGCCGATTCTTCATTATTTAATTTCTTTAAATATAATACAGGGCTGTAATATTTGGAGACAACAGTTTGGAAAGCGAACCGAGAAAGAAACAGCCTTTTTGGACTAACGCCCTATGTTTATAAATAAACTTCTGGAAAAAATGGTCAGCCGACGCCTAACGTACTGTTTAAAGCCTAAGATTCTTCTACCGATATCAGAGTAATTTACAGAAAGGCAGGTCAATGAATGATAATGTTCTATATTTAGAAAGCAATACGGAATGCTACCCGTCTTTTTTTAAACAAGAAACACCTTTTCTGTTTTTTTTTTTTTTTTCGATATGGAAAAGCATGGTAAAATCTTAAGGTATTGAGTTCTATAAGATTTGTGCGAGATTAACCTGCGTAGAAACTACCAGTTTTTATTCAAAATTTCTTGAAAGGTAGACTTTTCAAATGAAGGTTAGTTAGAGAATTTTGTACAAGAGGAAAATTTCCACAAAGATGGATGCTTAGTAACGCATTGTTTGTCTTAAAAGTAAATGGTATTTATAATAAAAACTTCTCCTATTGTTAACAGAATATTATGTGTAGATGACTGGCAGATTACTGTTGTTGGGGTTGAGTATACTTTATTGAGAGGCAGTTACAGATTGTACTGAACAGTATTTTAAAATGGGCTAAGAAAAATGGAATAAACTTTTCGTATCAGAAGAATTTTTTTGTGGACTTTGTTAAAAAAAAAGGGGACTTCATCGAGAAAAAGAGTTAACACATTGAAAGAACTATAATAACTAAACTAACAGAAGCAAAACTGTTTGTCATGTTCGATAACAAACTTTATTTTCACAATTATATACCATACTGAGGAGAAAAAATAAACACGTATATTCATCATGCTTATGGAACACCTGTTGGAGGCCATTGAACCGAAGCTTTGGTAGCATACAAATCCCCACAATTTATCTTTTCGCTTAAATCATATTAATTTTTTTATTCAGTTATGTGCATTTTTTCTGCCACTTTTCGGACATCGCCCGTTCAGAGCCTTTATGTTGAATGCTCTATGTGAGCTTTATGTTAATACTTTTCGTCGATATATACAAAAAGCAAAGATATTGTCCTTTTTAGAACGTGAATTACCTGGTGTACTCTCGGCAAAGATGGGTATATAGAGCTGGCGCTAGATATTGCCAACGCTACTCTAAGGACTCTGGGATAGATACAGCTAGCGCCAGACATTTTGTCAACCCACTCTGAGGGTTCTAAATTCTGTTGTCCGGCACTCCCCAAATTTTTTAAAATTCGCTGAATTAAATTCTGCTGTCTTCCAATACCTCCCTTAAGTACTAAAAATTTTGCCATCGCTAAAACTGTGTGGTCATTACTTCTCTAAAGTCTAAAAATTTGGACTGCCCTAAATTCTGCTGCCTGCTCTGGCCGAGCCCTGGTTTAAGTAGATAGCCATTTTGTGCTTCGCCTTCATTGAATAATTTTATCCATAATCTGGTTAACTGAACTTGCAGATTGAACGGAGTGACAGGGAGACGTTATAGTCTGCCGCCGTATGGGTTGGATGATGCTATCTCATTCTCACTAGAAAAATCATTGAGTTTTGTAACCGAGAGTTTAAGAGTTGCCAAAATAAAGTTACGATGTTTTTAGACATAAGCATTTCAAATGTATTTTCGATTTGAAAATTGCCATATAAAATATATTATCATTGTCTGAAGTTAAATCTAATGTGTGTTGCCATGTGTAGGGAAAATGTGTAAATTGATGTTATGAATTTATATATATGTAAAGAGTATCGTTCTAAAGTCCTGTCAGAAAAAGGTTATAGCAAGAAGCCCCCTTTATCTTGCCTAAGTTTCGTCGTTACAGAACAAAATATGGAAAATACATATAAAAGAAATAAAGTAATCGAACTTTCTAGAGCACTTGTTTTTCCTTTTTGGCCAGCAATAAATGAGCAGAAAAATAAAACAGTTGGAAGTGCTTTGAACATCACGGAAAACCATTCAAACGAAGTAATGTACCTTTCAGCTATTTGACTTGCAGTCTCTTTGTTTATAAAAAAGGTAGCCTATCTCTTAGGCATAAACTCGGATAGTTTGGTAATTTTATTTAAAGAACTAGATTTCTATACCCTTCTGAAAGCGTAATATACTGCGTTAAGATTTGAATGATCGACTAGTTCTACGGAGCTTTTCTCTAAAATGTTTTGTGAGATTAAAGTCATTTTAAATTATCAATCTAAAATTCTCATTTTTCTACAGATTAACTATTTTCCGAGCTTTCAGCTGTTACTTGCCATTACGGTGTTCCAAAAATACTTATTTTTGCCATATTCTTCCTTTCCTAAGCTATCTCTGATTTTGCAACATGCTATTATTAGCAACTTTGCAGTTTTGTGTGAAACAGCGATCAGATGTCCTTGGCCGTAAAACATCTCCATCCCTGGCCGATAAAATTCGATAGTAAGTCATCTTCAGGACTGGTTAAAAAGTGATGTATTAAGTTATATGATACCTAAAGTGGAATTAAAGAAACTGCGACGATCTTTAGGATTTTTTTTTCCTTTAAATTTAAATTTTATTCTAGGGAAAGAAGTGTTTCATTTGTTCACATAATATTTCTATGTTGTTTCAAAATAGCTATAACGTTAAAGGGTTTCAGTAAGCAATAGCAATGCTTTAACATTAATTATGTATATTTTCCTCTTTCTTAATGCATTTATTAATTTTCTTAAACATTGGATTTTATTTTTGATCTTTGTGGAACTAGATGAAATATTAAAAGCTTAAGAAGTATGAATGAAACTGTTTTCTCATACCCTAAACCTAAACAGGAGAAAAAATTACAACCTA